TTAAAGATGCTTTGTTCTATGATACCCTACAGTGATTTCCACACTTGTTATTTTCCTCATAATCCAAATTTTAGGTAAGTGATATAAATCACAGACTAATATGGCAGAGAGTGGGAAAAAGGTTTTTAAAGATGCTTCTTTGGTATACTAAAATATTCAGTTCCAAATTCATGTCTAGTGTGAAATAATATGGTCTAGAAAATGACAGATGATTAAATCCACATTCTGTTTCTGGCTTTGCTTTCCTCTGCTGGGCGGCCTTCGATCTCTTCAGTGTCCCAGGCCTGGCCCAGCCCTCTCCTCCCCACCTCAGGGAGATACGCTCAGGACAAATGAGATAAGAATCTGGAAAGCATTTGATTTCTTTGGAACCCAAATCATATTTTCCTAAGATCATTTTATCAGCCTAAGTACCATGAGTATCAGCAAGAATTGGTGCTAAACTCACTTCTGGAACAGAGACGGTTTATTTTAAAACTGGTGTTTGCAGAGTCGGAAATGAGCTCCTGGGGTGTGTGGCATGTGTCTGTGACCAGGCTAACCCGGCTCTGCGGACAGCATTCCCTAGAAAGAGGGCGGATCCGGAGCCCCTCCTTTGTGGACTCTTTTCTTAAACCTTTTGTGCCTCATCTGAGAATTACTAACAGTCCTGGCAGATAACTTTTTCCTGAAGAATTCTCCAAGAGACTGAGTCAAAACATCCCCCCACCCAGTTTCTGAAATGCAACCAAATTCCATGATAACAACTAACTCATAACAGGCATCGTAAATTAAGTCAAACAGGCAGAATGTCATTAAGTAACTTCCCTTGCCAGGTCCATCTGCCTTTGTTATCGGAGGCTGCTTAAACGTGAAATATGTAGGGCGGAAAGAACCCTGAGACCTATGAAGTTACTGTCACTGGAGACGAGTTGCTGGCTAAGCTTAGTGCAGAGAAAGACTGCATTTTACAAACCAACTCAGGAAAGGATGGAGGCCCTAATTTTCAAAACGTACTCTCTCAAATATCCACCCTGAAATGTTTAACCACAGAAGCATAAAATGGGAGATGGCTAAAAGAAACTTTTCAAAAGCAGAGCACATACAAACGTAGGCCGCAGGAGGTAGCAAGCACACTCCTTCCATTTTATAAGGCCTAACGGGTATGTCCTCTCCAAACTCCAAATTCTGACTTCTCTTTCTTTCACATGCCGTTTATTCTAATCCCAAATGCAGATCCCAAGAACTGAAGATAACCGCAGTGCAGGAAGACACTGCCTCCCTTTTTTGTGCTTTAGAGCCTATTAAGGACCTGTGGTCTCAGAGAGGGGTATTAAAGGACACATGCTAAGTCCATTTCAAAAAGTGAGTCAGGAGTGTCATCCCTTCAGGACGGGGAGGAGCCATGAGAATGCCAGGCTAAGTGTGGCCGAGCACGAGGCTGTGCTGTAAGCTTCACCCTGAAGCATCAGTGGGAACCTCCCAGAAGCCTGGGTGGGGGAGGCAATGGCTGAACTGGCAGGGGTGACCCTTTGGGGATTTCTGAACTCAGGAATGAAGTTTAGAGATAACGCATTAGATGAGGTAAACAGAAACTGGTGAATTATCTTCATAGATAAAATATCTAATAGGCAGTTCTTCTAAAATTCTATCCTAGTAGACTCCCAGGGTAAAATTACCCACTATTGCAAACCTGTACTTTTCCGTTAGTGATTTTTTCTTCTTCTCTCATTGAGTACAAATATAATCTCCTGTATTCCAAGTTCACATAAGCACTATTATGCTACAAAAGATCTGAAGCAGTGCTAGCTTCATTATTCCTAACTCTGGGATAGAGGCTCATTTCTATGGAAGCCCCTGGTGAACTCTAGTCAGCCACAAGCCGGGGGTGGTGTACTAGCACAGCAAAGGAATTCTCCACACAGCAGGAAGCCAGGCATGGCACTAGGCACGTCTATCTCAGGCCACTGCTGGGTAGAGGTGTTAGGTAGATGTCAAGTGATTCCGGGTCTCCTACGGATGACAGTGGGTGTCTTGCTTTAGTGCTGCCTTGAGCAATTGACCCCTCTGGGAAGAAGGACAAGGACAGGCCCTAGGCCACTGTCTTGGTGCTACCCCCCCTTAATCCTGTCACAAGTACTGCCATACCTGGGGGAGGAGGGAACGCCCCACCAATCTACCAATCAGAACTTAGCACGCCAACTGCAAAAGAATGCATAGGACTCTCTAGCCCACAGGCCAAGCGGCACAGGTACAAGAGTCTGGAAGGCAACTTAGGACAACCTAAGGCTAAATCTACTTCGTGGTTCATTCCCTCAAATGGGCTTCACAGAGGCTCCTGGGAGATCTGCATGTGCAGTAAGACTCAGGTCATATAACTTCCAACTGCCCATCAAAGTGGTTCCTTGATGATGTCTGAACCATGGGGAGGTCCCTTATCCTAACACTATAAAACAAGCCCCAGACCATAACCAAGGCTTCTTTTGCTATGATGAAGGGTCCAGTCATCATCTGTGGCATATGTACCTTGCTCTGTAAACCTCTATCTTGCTCTATAATCCTATCTTTCTCTCCTCAATAAACCTCATTTCATGCTTGCCTTACTTTGGTGTGTCTTCTCATTCTTCAACCAAGAGCGCACCAAGACCAAGAACACAGAACGAGACTGCCAAATTCCTACTGCCACACATTTATCCATAAACTACCTGAAGAAACAAGTCACCTTTGCTTCTTTGACCCATCTCCAAAGAAGTCTTAATGAACCTTCCAAGGTATAACTTTTACATTTATCTCTTTGCCAAATAACTTTTACATTTATCTCTTTCCTTCAAATAATTTATTTTCTGTTAATAAACTTCTGAACTCTTTTCTAGGGTAAATCCAGAGTAAATCCAAGAGAGTCTATAAGAATGTACATTCTGGGAGTGATGGTGATTCAAGGAGAGCCTGTGAAAACCCTGGATGAAGATGGTCATTCCCCTTCACACCCAAGCTCGGACCATTTCTGACTTTTCTTACAGGTGGCAGTCCAATGTAAACTGACTAGATAACTCAATCACCTTGCTTATTTGATAAATAACAACAAGAAAACAACAAACATTATTAGTATCATTCTAACAAAGTTTCCAGGTTCAAACTTTATTTTTTAAATCTAAATAGCTATGGGGTGGGGCCTCAGGGAGAAATACTGTCAGGCACCAAAAGGCCTGAATATGTCATTTATCGTATTTCTTCTTACTAATGGCAAGAAATATTTGCTGAATGTGAATACATAGGGGCATGAACAAAATAAAATGAGACATTCTTTTTATTCTCCAGCCCTGTTATTTTAAGACCTCTAAGTCTTAGGACTTATTATTTAGTAAACTCAAAAAGGAGAATGAAAAAAAGACCTAATTACTCAAACAAGAAGGATTTTGAAAATGAAATCATTGTAGCAGAGCATTTTAAATTTACTTACTTCTGTCCTAGAAACTACATCATTAAATACCATGAACTCTTCTGCAAAACCAAGAGAGACGACCAAAGTCTGGGACTGTGAAACACACCATCTGAAACAACCCCCTACATAACGGACTTTGTCCTTTGCCTGCGATAGGTTCCTGGCGCCGGTGGGGCCAGAGCCTTGTTCCCACCTGCGAATGAGACGGCTGTGGAAACGAGGGCATGCAAAGAACCGACTCCTGCATCCCATGATCGGGTCTCACGTAATAAGGCACAGTTTTCGTCAGAGAGTAAAAACTCGGGAATTCTGAGCTGATGGTCATTTAAACAAAACCCCTATTCATTGTCAATTTTTTTAAAAAAGAATTTGGTCATGCATTCTAGACACAGAATAGACCAGATGCTCATCTTGGTAGGACAGAAGATCCGTTATGATAAATGTTTCCCACTAGTTTCCCCAGAGGAGTGTTTTGGTCTTTTGCCCACCAGGTAAACCCCGGATTCTATCATCAGCTTATTTAGTAGGCTTTTTGGACTCTACCAAGATGAAATGATGGGCTACTCCATAGGCCATTTTCAAAGAGGGCATGTACACCCACATAAACTTTTCTGATAAAAATAAGACCTGTCCTCCAGGTGGCCATCACTTTCACAGGCTGTGCTCTTGCACCCCAAGGCTCTACGCAGGCGCCACCAGCGAGGACCTGGCACCCAGCTTCTATCAGAGCAGCTCCACTTCTGTACACTGTAACGGATTCTTACAACTTTATGTTGCCTTGGCATCCTTTTTGAAAAAATGAGTTTAACTCTCTCATACTAGAAGCAGGGCTCAGTCACCCGTGACACGGTTTCCAGTTCTCCACCTCCACGCCCGAGTTCCTCAAACATGGTCAATCCAGACATCTGCCTGATACAACTTCCTCCTGGTGACCACCTCCCCAAGGGACAGCTAGATGCAACCTACGTTACAAGCCCTGCTGACCCTAACACCCCACAAGGGCTGTGCAGATACACCTCCTGAAACTCGTGCCTGCTTGCTTTAAACTCATCGATTAACACTCCCTGTGGAGAGCCTGTTTCGGCAATGCCCTGGACCAAGCAAAGGCCTTGGCCCATGGGTCCCCTCTCCACGTGCTCCCTGACCTCCATGTGTGTGGCCTTCCTGTACCCCTAGGACCTGTAAGTAATGAAGTATTTCCTTCCCGTGTCTCTCTGAATCACTGGAGGAGAGCTCATCATCTGAAATGAAGTTACAACATATGCTGGTGCTCTGTGTAGGATTCTATTTCATATGATAGGTTCTGCTTAAGAGTAAAATAAAGCTTCAGCACAGTCTTCAAACATCCTGTAACTGTGCTGCGAAGGAGTGATTTCTCCTGAGTCCTCAGTATTCAAGTCTTTTGATCCTGAGTCCCCAAAGTCTCTGCCCCTGCCACAGGGTCCTGGCACTGCTCTTGGCACACAGCGATTGTTTGAAAACGATGATGATGAACTGTGGGTTACAGAGGCAAAGAGGCTGCTTCGACCAGACACCAGCCCCATTCACCTCCCCTCAGACAGTGATGGGGACAGCTTACCTTGTCACTGTCCAGTGTGTTCTGAGACGTCCGGGAGGCGATTGAGATCGTATCGGGCTGGCTGCTGCCATCGCCTTGGCTGTCCAGGTCCTCTCCATCCCTGGCGATATAAAGAGACTTTTTACTCCTGACACTGCTGGGCCCCATCAGCCCCTGGAGAAATAACTGACTCAATTAAAGAGGTGCGTGTCAGTCTTCGTGACTGCCTGCCACCACCATATGCTAACGATGACACATCACTCTATATCAAGCATGGGCCTTTTGCTAGGCACTGTGCTAAATGTCTAAAATATATCATTCCACTGAATTCTCACCATTATAAAATATGGTTGATAGGATTGTTTCCGTTTTAGAAATGAGAAAATAAAAATGTCTGGATGCTGTATATAACTTGTCCAAGGTCACAGTGTGATTTTCACACATGCACGGAATAGCCCTTGGGTGGGGCAGGGACATGGTGAGGGAGGTGCACACAGACCTTCATTTACTTGAAGCCAATGGAGGCTCTTGTCTTGACAAAGCATTTTCATTACTAAGAATGATGTTACACACAAGTGGTAGTTTTAAAAACCTATTCCTCAAAACGTTTGAGAAAAATTATTTTTGAAAAATGGTAAGCTAACCTTGCCTCGTTCCCTCCCTATGAAACAAACAAACCTGCAAACACCTCTGGAGCACTCACCTCCTTCCCTTCTGCCTTGTGGTGGGAGCCGTCTTGGGGATGTGAATGGGCTCCTTCAGGGCTCCTTTCAGGTGGATCGTCCTTTCCTGTATCACCTCGCGGATGTGCTTTATCCAGTCCTGCTTGTTCTCTATGCTGGAAGCCTTAACAAGGTGTCAGAATCACTCAGGATGCAGAAGGACCCTTTCCAGACCCTGCACTGCCCACACTCTGGTCTCCTGCATTCCTAGAGTTTCCCATTTTCAAAATAACTTTTCAGGAAAAAAGCAAGCAATTACAACCTACTAATTTGCCACCAAATAAATATTTATGACTCTATTTAAAAAACATTTTTACATCAAAATCATTTTTATCTTATAGCATATATGTTATTCCAGATCTCTGACTTTTCTAATAATAGATCACACTCCAGTCCCGAAACCTTTTAAGCATCCCTGGCCAACTAAGCAAACACAGCTGCCCACAAACCAAAACGTCCTGGAGGCTACTCAGGCAAAGACTGTGCTGTGCATTGGTTACTGGCTTGCAAACTGTCAGCCGGACACTGAACCAATCCCTGTGACCTGCCTCAACTGCTGGAGTCATGAATAGCACCTGCCACCCTCACTCTGGCCACCTCCTCCCCGTGGCAGGCTAAGTGCTTCCCGTGCAATCTCCCACTCACTCCCACAAGGGCTCTGGGGTAGGGGCCTCTGTCATCTCGTTCTATAAACGAGGAGCCAAGACACGCGTGGACACAGCAAGAAATGTGCCCAGGTCACCAGCTGCCAATCACCCATGGTGGATTCACCCCCAGTGCCATCACAACTTTGGAGACTTGTTCCCTGACAATGACACAGAGTAGAAACTCAATAGCATCTGTTGAATGAACACATATGACATCACTTTTTCCAGATTTTTTTTTTTTATACTCTGCCTCTCAAAGGAGATGTTTTCTTTCCTTTTTCTTTTTACATGTTCTGGGCCTTACTAACAGTTTTCTAATTTCCTTACGGAAAACATCAACCTCCTATGATATAAGCATAATTCCCTGTAAATGATGAAAATAATTGTCAGTGGGATCACAGATGAGATCATGAAGGGAGGAGAACCCAACATTTCTCATTGTGTATCCTTTTTTGAAAACAGAAAATCAAAGCCCAGGCTGGGAAAGGAAATTAAAACTGATCTGATAACCCTCTTTCTATATACAATGTTTTAACTGGAGCGTATGTCTGTAAAGTTACTTAGGGTAGTGACAGGGAAATGGACTAAGGATAAAAGAAGCTTCTTGCACCCTCTTCCCAGATCTGAAGCTTGACAGCAGTGAGACCAATGCCTCCATAGGGCTGAGGCAGGAAGAAGGCACAGTGCCCAGGGAATAGGAGTTCATGTGTGAAATAAGTGTCCCAGGAAAGAAAACTTTAAAAATTACAAATCTATTGGAACTTAAATGCCTGATTACAATATATGGAAGGTTAAACAAAGAGAAGTACCTATGAAAGAACATTTGGCAGAATTTGGAAACGACCAAGGAAAACTGTTAATATGGTTCAGAAATAAAAAAGAATTCTCATGCAAACTGATCATGACATTTATGGAGATGAATTGTCTTAACATTAAAAAAATTAAACAAGAAAAGAAGATGTCATTTTTTTCAGAAATAATAGGAGATAGGTAACAGCCAAAGTGTTAAGTAAAAAATCCTACTTGGCTAAGCGAAGGGAATAATTTGTTTCATACTCTTGGTTGTCCCAATCTGTTTAAGTAAGGCCTTAGAAATAAAATTCTCCTTTCCAGACTACAGAAGCAAAAAAGACCAAATTTTTGTTCTACAGCTACTAGGACATCACCATTACCACCTCCACCACCAAATCACCAGTACCCTCACCACCACCTAGACCTTCCCCCCAGATCTACACCACTACCTTCATCTATACCCTAACTGCCATCCTAGACTATCACCACCATCTATACCAACACACCACCATGTATACCAACACCACCCCACCAAAATCTACACCACCACTACCATCTATATTTTCAACACTCACCACCTCCACCACTACCACCGCCTAGACCACCACCACCACCTACACTGACACTACCACCCAAATCTACATCCTCACCACCACCTAGACCATCACAACCACCCAAATCTACACCACTACCTTCATCTACACCCTCACCACCACCACCACCACCACCACCACCTACACTGATGCTACCACCCAAATCTACATCCTCACCACCTAGACCATCACAACCACCCAAATTTACACCACTACCTTCATCTACACCCTCACCACCACCACCATCTCCATCACCACTACCACCAACACTATAAAACAGCAATCTCTGAAATTCATGAGGACATCATTTCCTTTAGTATCTCCTTGGAAGAAAGATATTATCCAAAAATTCCCTAGAAAACTTTCATCTGGTTAAGCCTGCAGGAAGTTTTATCCTTCAATTGTATCTTGAGCATTTTATTATGCCCTAAATGAAAACAGTTCATATCTTGCTAAAATATCTGGCACTATTTCTTAGACGCACCTTTTGGTCTCTGCCACTGTAGTTAATCTGGATAGTTTATATAAAGTGGCAAGTTTTAAGGTCCTCAGTATACTTTAAAAATTTTATGCCTTTGAAAAATTCAGTAATTTAAATTTAGCTATCAGTGCAATTTATATTGTACAGGGCTTTATGCCAGTACTAACAAGAACGCACTGGGTTGGTAATCATATATTCACTGCAAAACACTCCGTTGTTTACATGTGAATAAAGATCTTAAAACCACAATGGCTTCCACTAAAGAACAGGTTCTGAAAGAGCACAGATGAATAACTCATAGTCACTGGAAATACCAAAGGGAGATGAAAAGGTATGCAAGAGACACAAGAGGTAACATGCAAGTTCACAAACCAGAGTCTCGTTACACTTCTGGCTTGTCTCCCAACATTCTACAAATCTTAGATACATCTTCCCCCAAACAGCCCGAAGCTGCTTATGGTTTTTCCAGATGGCATAAAAAGACAGTTCCATCTGTATTTCCTCAAATGCAGAGGAGGCAAGTATACAAGACACCCTGAGAATCCTTTACCATTCCTGGGAGAGGTTAGTATAACCAAAACAGTTCAAATCAAATATCCAAAGATATTTTCTTCCCCCAAAGCCTATATACCCCAAAGCACCCTAAATGTTGTTGAACTTTAAAACATAACAGCACCAAACCCTGCCATTGGTAATCATCTCCCTTTTTTCTCTGCCCCAGACTATTAAGCCAAACAGCCAAGGACTCTGTGAAGACACCTGGCACAGTTGGCCTCAACTTCCTGTCAACTTCCTGCCCTCACAAACGCACCAGGGGACCCTTTCCCTTTGGAAATTCAAGGTCAAGTGTGCAATGAGGGTTATTGGTCTATATCTTGTTCTTCCAATACCCCAGCATCCTGCATCTCTTATAGAATCAACTAATTCTAAGATAGGAAGAATGGGAGAAGTTTAAAAAAACCTTTCCTTCATTTGCTCTTTTAGGAAGCAAGCCAAAGTTCAGCTCAAGTCCTTCATCTTCAGAATACCTGAGTTTATTCCACCATGCTTTCTGTGGCAGTCACCAATCCCAACAGAGCACACACATACACACCCACACATGCACAAAATAACATGCTTCAAGAATGGGAAAGAAGGCACCAAGAGCCACATTAAGCTTTCCACACACACACTCCCCAGCTTCATATGAACATACCTTAAGGACAATTTTGTTATCTGAAGTTGGTGTTCTCCCCACCCACAGTGCAAATTTACAAGGATCTCCTTCAACATGTTCTGTGACACCCAACTCTGAGGTCTGGATAAAAAGATAATTACATAATTAGATGACAGTAGAGTTCTGGCAGGATATAGAACAGAGACCAAGAAAACCATTTTTGGTTACTTGCAGTCATGTTGGTAATAACACAGTCCTTTACACTGACAGGCAATCTTATTTTAAATGAGGAAATTTAGAGATTTTGTTCTTAAGGGTTGGTTTCATCTTTTACTTCCTCTGAACACTTCAGAGGTGCAGGTCAATAAACAAAAAATCCAGAGGAAGGAAACCAAAAGATCTGAAAATCCTACTATTTGGAAAATCAGGATTTGACTATTTTCAATCTTATAAGCAACAAAATAAGTCTTTCCTAATTCTGAAAGGGCTGCCACCATGAATTTTCAGCATTGATGATGTAGCTGTTTTAACAGCTCAGTTATTTTCCAATTTATTAATAGTATTAATTTTTCGTGTTTCACCAATGATTTTAACGGCTAAGAGGCAGAAGAACTCCGCTCTGTGATACACGCAGAACACGGAAGAGCACAAAGGCCCACATCTTCAGACCCAGCCCCCAGGCCAAGTTCACCCCTGACGCATTCTCCCTGCAGCAAAGGAAGTGATTCATAAGCTAGAGCTCCAGAGGTGGCCTCTGAGGAAATCTTAACTTTTAAAAGATAAATTAAGTGAAGATGTATCAGCTTCTAAAACACACTAGCCTGGTCTCTAAAGGCAGATTAAAGCCAGCTAGCGTAATTGCCAGCCAGCTACGTTGCATTTTTTCTTTGCAGTCAGAATGTGACCTAAAATGATGTAAGGCAAGCTGTGATCCAAAAGACAATCTCAAACGGGATGGAAGCCAAAGAAAATGGTATGAAAACCATTAGCTGGAACCTGCAAAGTCCAGATTATTATTGAGATGATTTCCATACTTAGGGATATTTTATTACTTTGGGAATTTGATTAATATATGACAACCATAAAAATGTATAAGTTGTCCAAACTGCAAACATTTACCGATATTTATTCATATAAGCAATCTGTCACAAAGAAACCCAACTCCACTGAATTTTCTACTCTTTTTTGGATGGTGATTTCTCCTTAGTCTGACCCTCCCCTCCCCTCTGCCCAACCCTGCCCAGCAGTTCTGCATTGCCAGCCCCGAGAGACGGCCTGCTGAGGAGGATGGAAGTACAGTGCACCCAGAGGACGACCTAGTCCCGGGCTTTTCTGACTGCACACATGCAGCTTCATAAAGATGCTGGTAAGCTGCTAGTAGGAACAAAATGGTACCAGGTATATTTCTCTTGTCAAGAAGTACACTGACAGTAAAATAAGAATTAAAATGCATCACTGGATCAGACAAGCACTGAAGGACAGCTGTCCCCACATAGTTGGAGCTGTTAATCTTCCAAACTTTATTTTTGCTTTCATATATTTTGTGCAATAATATTTTGCTATAAAGAACTATAACTTTATTTGTGCATTTATTTTCCATGAATTTATTTTTAATGAAAAAAGTATCAAATCTCATCATTAAGAATCTACAATGAACTACCCAGTAAGGCTGCCTAAATAAACACCAATGTTTATGGACGAAAAATTAATCATAATGATATGAGAGTTTATAGTTAATCATAGTCTAATATGATCAATGTATTTATAAAGCTAGTTAAGGCACACAGGAGATAACTGATCTAAATTCACTTATAAAATGTCTCCTTATCCTACAGTTAAATGATCCGGGGTTGATAAAGAGCAAGTTTCCTAAATCTATGAAACTCCAGCATGCCCTCTAGTGGACCCAAGGGTGACAGAATTTCACTGAAGATAAAACATTACCACAGTTCAGACTTTTTCATATTTTAGGATAGATTGGGAGGTTAAACTGAGGGCAAGAAAGGATATTTTTTCTCACCTACCAAAAGGTTGCAATTGTGTTAGTTTTAGATGTAATGATTCTGGACACCTGTACTTACAAACAATTTGCTTTTGTAAAGGTACTTGCTTCTCCCACTGGAATCTTTCACTTCTTTACTAAATACTAAGGACATTTCAAAAAGGAAGAGATGTCGTTCTCGACCCTTTCGGATTAAGGTTTTTGGGTCCCACACTTGGAAGGATTCTTGTAGGATGAGTTCTCCCTGAGACTCAATGTTTTCATCAAACCCTACAACATGAAAAAAAGTAGGCAAATCAATTTAAAAGAAAAATAAATGATGCACAAGAGCGTTATTAATTACCGTTTCAGCCTTTGAAAATTCCCATCAACTAAACCTCAGATTAGGGTTTCCTGACTCTAGTCTCCCCCTGCTGACCTGTCCCACAAAGGGTAATTCTTCTTAAAACACCACTTTGCGTGTATTTTCCCTTCATACCATCTGAGATGTAGTTTAACTCCCTACCTCTCTTCAGCCCTCTCCCACAGCATTCCAAACCTCCTCCTCCTTCTAGAACAGTTCCCCCCACTCTTCTCTAAGCCCCCTCCCACATTCCTGCCTCAATCCCAAATCCCTTTGCTTCCTCAGCCTGGCCTGCACCCTTCCCAGACATTCCGCTCAAGTCCAGCCTTTCTTCAAGGACTGTTCTGGTCTTGCTCCTTGGAGCCCTCCCTCCTCTGTGACATTCTTCACGAGAACCAGCCATGCTCAGGCCACATGCTGGCCTTCACCACTGCTTTTCTCTTGGGGGATGTGGCCTGCTTTATCACCTGGACTTGAAGTCACCAGGGCTTAGTAAAGCGGCACCTGGGACACTGGCTGCCCCTTACTCCGCCCCTCTCCCCTTCCCTCACAGCAGAAGCTCCCTCTAGGGCCACTCAAAATAAGCGCTCCATTCCCCAGCACCCTGTGCAGCTTGGAGCAGCCGGGCAATGAGGACAGTGAGGGGCACGACTGGTAGTCTCTGCCCATCTGCCCTCCTTTCCCACTTCCTGCTAGATGGAATGTTGCCTGGTCTTGACACACTCTATACAGAGCCAATAGGACAACATCTGGGATGGAGAGAAACTAGCTGGAACATGGCCTGAATCGGTGATGCCTTCATGAAGAGCTGCTGTACCAGCTCAGCATTTCACATCAGAGGAAGAAAAATTGGTCTCACCTGGCCTCTGAGTTTAGGGTCTCCATTACACACAGCAGCACCTATGTGCAAACTAATATAATGCTCAGTATTACTGATGATAAGGATAAAAACTAGCAAAAGAATTTGGAGGATTATTTATAAATAATTCTTATAAATAATTCTGTGTAACCTGTTAAGAGCTAGGCTTTTCAACACAGAAAAAGCTTTCTTGAACAGAAGCATTCATGGAAACTATGATTGCTTTAATAATTTTTGAACAGATTTATCTAACTTTCTCTTTACCACATTACACACTAAATCCAACTGAATAGGCAGCATCTGGAACCTACTATGTTCAAGGCTCAGGCAAGCGATGCACTGGACAGAGATGGGGAAGCAACAGGCTCTTTTAAGGATGTTACAGTCTTGTGGCTCCATCTACCCTTCCGCCCACTCATCTACCTAACAGGGAAGCCAAGTAGCCTAAGGCAAGAGGCATAAAGTGCTATGGAGTTCACAGTGTGGAGAGGCTATTCCACTTAAGGGACAAGAAAAGGCTTTCAACAAGGTAGAAGCATTTATATTGTCCTTAAAAAAAAAAAAAAGCAGTGACATTAATTCTTTAAAAAAAAAGAAGACACCCACCTCTAAACTCTTGACCACTAACTAAACAGAAAGGCATAAAGCCAAGCTATTTACATTCAGGAAATCCATTTACAAACAGCATCAGCAGAAATTGTGCAAATGCACATTGGGGCCATGTGGAGTCGAGTTACCTTCCAGCATGCTGAGGTGCATGGCGTCATTGGCTCGCTTGGGCACGCTGAGCATCACCTCCAGGCCGTCCTTAATCTCCCCCTTTCCTTCCTCACAGCACGTCAGCAGCTCCTGCAAAGACCAAGACCTGGGTAAATGCTGCAGAATGCTCCATCAATAAGACCTTTGCAGAGATGAAGAAGTCTGTGAAAACCCACGGTTTTAACATAAAAACAGACTGTGGTCAACTGGGCATATATTCTCATAGAAAACAAATTACTGCCTCTTCAATCAATGGATGGCAGGGTTTATTCTGCTCAAATCAGAACATCAGGGTAAAGCAGATGCACATATAAGCTTAAGATGAACTTAGCATGCCTGTGAACAACTAAGCCTCAAAAATAATAAATACAAATATTTAATTAGTATAGTAATGCTAATCAGCTAGTGGTTATAGCTGATGGTCTTGCCAGAGTCCTGCTGTATGCCTACCACCAATCTCAGCAGACTTCAAACCCTGGTGCCATTAACAAAACTTCCCATCTAATCTGGGACAGCTAAATCAGGCGGGTGGAACAGTGACGCCACATGAGCTCCTACAGTAAAATGCATTTCCTTTGTGTGTAGGATGTTTAGAAAAGCTCTAATAGTTGAATACACCTCCCTGGAAGCTCTATGTATGTAACTACATTTCAGAGCTGTTAGAGGAACACCTGTTATTAAATGAATGACAGCAGGAACAATAAGTTCACATTTTGGTGGGCTCCCAGACACTTTTTTCTGGGTGTATTAGTGACTATTATTAGTAACCAACAGCAACAACAGTTTTTTTGTGTCCTGTTAGTCAACAAAAGGGGGAGATGACCCTGCAACCAGCTTTGGTCTCACACTGGACAGTTTAGAGTAACTCAGCTCCTGGACAAATACCTTCACTCACAACCAGACGGTGTTTATCTATTATTCTGAACAGCCTGGTAAAAACTGCTTTATAAATGCAATGTACTGAGGCTAATAACTTCACTGGCAGAAAACCTTCCTTGTCAGGAGGCTTAATGTAGCTTCTTACTGTTCTCCTGAGGAACCTCTAGGCAAAATAAGGTAAAGTTTATAAATTTAAGTACCAGTTTAGTAGAACCATATGTTAAAAACAAAATATGTAAATCCTGAGGACACTAAGAGGTAAACTGCCTTTGCAGAATTAGAAAGCAAAGGACTTATATGAATATAAACAAATTAGCCTCCTGATTTTTTATTTCATGTTCACAGCAACTACATGCCTCTGTAGTGATGGTCGTAAAATCACTTAATGGTATCTTGAGATAAAAGTACAGGAGAGCTTTCCCAGTGAAAAAGAATGTAGTCACTTCTTACTGTTTCTAGATTTTTCTTACTATCGAAAGGGTAAATAAAAGTTTTACAACTCCATTTTCTGATTTCTTTTATATCTAGAACAATTACATCATATCCCCCTGTGGTAGTGCCTGGGACAGCACCTGGAACAACATAGCAGGAGTCATAAAACAGTGTCACTGGCATGAGCGGATGCTTTCTATGTTCTCAGGCTTAATAAACTTTACCAGCCAAGGAAACAGTATTGTAAACATCACCAGAGGTTATACATTATTTATATGTTGTCAAGAAAATGTGTATTGGCCGGGCGTGGTGGCTCACGCCTGTAATCCTAGCACTCTGGGAGGCCGAGGAGGGCGGATTGCTGGAGGTCAGGAGTTCAAAACCAGCCTGAGCAAGAGCGGGACCCCGTCTCTACTGTAAATAGAAAGAAAGTAATTGGCGAACTAATATATATAGAAAAAATTAGCTGGGCATGGTGGCACATGCCTGTAGTCCCAGCTACTTGGGAGGCTGAGGCAGTAGGATCGCTGAGCCCCGGAGATTGAGGTTGCTGTGAGCTAGGCTGACACCCCGGCACTCACTCTAGCCTGGGCAACAAAGCGAGACTCTGTCTCAAAAAAAAAAGAGGAAAATGTGTATTGATGATCTACAATGCATTTTGTGACAACTTTTAGCACAAATTCTAAGTTTTCTCTGCCTTTCTGTTGTCAAGACTAATCGCTATTAGACTTTTGCAAGTGTGATTTTGATTATAATTATTCACGACCAAGAAAAAGCAGAGGTGAGTCTGACTCAAATACGTGTGACCTGTATGAATGACATGTCCTGTAAGGTGCGTGTGATAAATAACTGACAATAACTGAGAGGAAGCTACCTGGGGGTGGGTTCTTCATGGTTTTGGTGGGAAACCTGGGCATTGGCCAGCCCTGTGTTCAAAGTGGAGCTCAGATAACAGATATCGGTGATGATTCCGAGGACATTCCTACCCTCTGCGGCTACTTCCCCACCTGCAGACTAGCATCCTTGTGAGGTTAATGTATACAAAGTGTTAAGCACAGCAGATGGCCCATAGTCAGCAAGCCACTCCAGGAACCAAGGGCACCAAAATATCAAGAAATGACGGTTCCTCATTCAGATCTCATTTTATGTCAGGGACTAAGGTCAGCCAGTGCAGTTCAGGTGCATAACCAAGGAATACATTCTTATTTAACTGCGGCAATGAGAAATTAGGCAGGGCAATAAATGGCAATGAATATAACATTAATTTACTAGGTATTATTTCAAAAAATTCAGGGTTATACACATAAATATAGAGAAAATGTCAAAATAGTAATGCATAATTCATAACACTTTGCAGGCTGAAGATGCTCCACACATACTTTTAAAAGGAGCTGATACTTCGTTATTCGCTGAACTGGTTTAATAAGGTAGGAAGAGATGGAATTGGCTAATCCATGCCGTTGCTGTATCTCCTGTATAAAAAAAAAAAAACAAACCTTACTAATAAAAAATGGCTGTGAGAGCACATTACTTTTTCAATACTGTACCTGACAAGTGTTTAATCCTGCTGAAATAATAAAGTTTCCTTTTCCTAAAAGGCTGTTAGAGTATTAACAAAAACTTTGCTTCTAAAACTTTACCCTTGCATAGGAGGGAGGATAGTCTGGAAAGGGAAGGTCTTTGTGATTAAAAGGGAGGATCTACATTATTGGTCAGTGGCCCATTTCACCCCATGATTTTCACTTTGCATTTTGTAATTAAGTCCCTTACACTTACAGCAGTCCCCAACCCCTGGTCTGTTAAGGACCTGGCTGCAGAGCTCCATGCCTCCCCCACCCCTTTTGTGGAAACATTGTCTTCCACGAAACTTAGGAATAGGGGGCAGGGGTTGAGCAGTAGGAAGTGAGCAAAGCTACCTCTGCATTTACAGACACTCCCCATCGCTGTATCACTGCTTGAACTCTGCCTCCTCCCACCCCCACCCCTGGTCTGTGGAAAAATTATCTTCCATGAAACCAGTCCCTGTGCCAAAAAGGTTGGGGACTGCTGCTTTACACACAACCATCTGCTGGCCTTTTGTATTCCTCACTGTGAAGGTGGGCACCCCATCTGCACTGTTCATCAGTCTATGCCAAGCACCTATGACCAAGCTCAGAGTTAAATGAGCACCTGATAGATGTTCAATAATGCTTATAACCAGAAAGAAGTACAATCGAAGGGCAACAGGTATCTTGGAGAATGGAGTAAAAGTTATAATGGAAAGACTCTTTAAAAAACAAAGCAACTGTGCAATGAATACTAAAGGCATATAATTTGTGAAATCTCTCAGACAAGCATGATTTCTTTTATTGCTAATGATGTTTTAGGGCACAATAATTTTTAAAATGGCTTTGATTCCAAACATTAAATGTGCCACACACTCTCACTGCGTAGGCCTTAAATAATACTAAGTCTGCATGCAGCCACGGTATTGCATTTCATCTAATGGCAAAGATCTAGGGTCATGTAAAATATTAAAAAGAACAGGCCACCTTGGGCTGGAAGAAGGCTTCATATTTACAAGGACAGTGATGTATAATTACTGGTCATAGGAATGACAACTAAAATAGGGTCATCTCCAGGTAGGGCTTCATCTCACAGATAGAAACTAAAGTTTTCACTACTTTCCCAGACTTTCAGATAAGAGATTATCACACTTGCCCACACACACTTTACTGTGCACACATTTGACCATGCTCTGGAAACCCAAAGAACATTCTGTGTATCACGTCCTAAGGCTCCATCCCTTTTGTGCTAAATAACCTCCCTGCAGAATCTCTCCCTAAACAGCTGACCTCTTTGTTTACTTCGATGAGAACACAATTAATGAATCTTCTAATTAATCCTAATTGTTACACTGCTATTGGAAAAATTTTATTGGTAGGTCACTTTAGGAAATCTATAACATCATGAAATTAACACAGGAAAAATAAATAACATGATTCAAATTTATTTTTGTTATAGAGGGGGGAAAGCAGGTTAATTTAATAGTTTATACCTTCTGTGCACAATATTATATGTAAAAAATTAATGCCTGAATGTAAAAAGTAATGACATATACACACAAATGTATATACATATTAAACATATGTACACATTAAACCATGAATTTCTTATATATAAGAATATATATGTAAAATATAAGATACAAGGCTTCTAATACTTGAATAGGATCTCTTAAAAGAAAAGAAAATATAAGGCTATCCCAAAATAAACATGATAACAATGAAAATAAAACAACTGCACCACCATCTGGATAAAAGTTATGAGTAATATCGCATTTTATGTACATAATTTGGAAAATTTCACAGCTTCTTTAGGAATTTATTACTTACATCAAAGTAGGACCCTGCATGTTCCAAAATCAGCTGAGTAGAATCAGGTTTATTTTTGCAATATGTGACATACATCTGAAACTTGTCTGCCTATATTCAAAAATGAATAAATAAATAAAAAATTAGAATATCTCATTCAAACTGCAACAAATATGATACACTTTTATACAGGAAAGAAGCTGTGTGAATAAGACAAATCTAAGCCTCAAATATAAGAAACCCTATTTAAAAAGAAGCTACTGAAATAAGAAACACCTCTTCCTGATACCACGCCCCTCCAAAAGCTTTCCCTATCCAGCAAACTGGGGCTGGACACCTGCCCCCTCTTCCCACAGCTGTGTGTGCAAACCTTGGCTGCAGGCTTTTGACAGCATGACCTCACGACCCCCGGTTCACTTGTCTGTCCCCTCCAGACTGGACAATCCCCCGATCAGCACCAGGCACTCATCTATCAGGGAATCCCCTAGTTACATAGAATGTACTTCTTTGAGGTAAAGTCCATTTCTCTGCATGTATGGATATCAGCTTGAAAGAAATGAACAACAACCCTTCTAACTTCCTTCAATGCCACCAAATCGCTGAGAACAAGTAGCTGAGGTTTTCTTACCCATGTAACAAAGCAATGTCCAACATCCTCTGGCAACTGTTCATATTTTTCTAGCTCCTTTAGGAATATGCTGCAGAGAATGAAAATGTTATCACATTATGAAGGTTTTTAAAAACATTTTACTAGTGAGATATGCTAGAAATTGAAAAATGTGTGCCCTCTGGATTTTAAGAATTCACAAAACATGTAGCTCTTAACTACAAGCAGCTAACCGGTTTAGCCTTCAAACCTTTTCTAACAGGAATTTTAACCTAGCAGCTTACTTCGGGGAAAATGCTAGTGTTTAGTAGCTAAGGATAAAATTTAGGGACATGAATGTTCAATGGAAAAACCCATTTGGCATTTCTGTGCTTTCTGCTGGGGTAGGTGTTGGGGCAGGGGGGGTGAAGAGACCCCACCAGCTCCAGCCCCACTGCCATCTCAGCACAGCCGTGGGCTGCACAGACCCCACCTAAAGGAACTTTGCTGCTGATGCTTTATTAAGATAGTAAAAATAAAATCATACACCTCCTGTGGCCAGTGGAAAGTACATTTTATTTGTTCAGACTACATGTCTGTTCCTTCCTCAGTCCCTCCCTCCCTCTTATTCATAAAAGAATAAGCAAACAACACAGGCCGGCAGTCCCCTGGGGGGGGGGGTAGCTCTGCTGTCTTTTAACCCTAAGAGGTAACTGAGGCAGCAGCTGATGCCTCTGCTGGAAAGAAGTCAGGGTCCCACAAAAACATTTCCACAGCTTTCCTAATCTTATTTCTGTAGACAATCCGTACAAATATAAAGCTGAGGTTATTAAAAGACTGTCTAGAATGTCAGTCTTTTTGTAGAAAGGCTGATAGACTTAATTCAAATTAACAACAAAATCATTGAGACCTGCTTTAATTTAACTGGAAACTTTTATTCCTTATGAAACCTCAGCACGGTATCTAGATTTCATGAGTTAACTACTCCCCAAAGATAAGGCCACTCACTTATTATGAAACTCATAGATTTCCTGCATGTTTCCGAAGATGATGAGTTCTTTGTTCACGATGCCAGCCGGGATCTCCTCCACACCACTCGTCATTTCCCACAGGTAGGTCTGGCCGGGAGCGAAACAGAGGGATTAGACAAAGTCAACAACAGATTTCCAAGACACAGTTACTCCTGACATCTATAAATAAACATATTCTCAGAATTAATGTATGAATGAAAACATAATGGAGGAATGAATGGAACCTTTTACAAAAGATGAAAAACTCTTCTAAAGAAGCCCTTCAGCTGCTGTTAATACTTGAGAGAAGGGTTCCTACACTTTAGTTTAACTCTCAACATATTCCCACCCAGCTTCAGACTTTGGAATTAGCCTACTCCACACGGTACAACAAATATCCATGACACTATCGAGTATTAGCTGCCAATCATAACCAGTAGGCACATTTCTCTGGAGCCGCTGTAAAATTCTGTACAAAAAGAATGTCAGTCAGGCCATCATGTGACAAATGGAGCGCGAGGATTAATGCTGCATCATCTCTGTCATGAGCGGAAAACAAGCCTGGAACTCCACAGAAGAGCAGAGACATGAAATGGGCTGCTTAAGCACACTTTACATTTCAAAAATAACCAGAACTACCAATAGGTGAGAATAACGTAGCAAGGTTATACTCAATATAAACAAACAAACAAAACTTACTTACATCCATACACTCCCGGAGGTCTCTTACGTAAGCCTTTTCAGTTTGAATTAGCTCAGCCATTATGAACCTTAAACAGAGGAGGACAATGAGCAGAGTGTAGTCCACGATCAGAATGCATGTTTATTTCACTATCCACTTTTATGAATATGTGGAAGAATAAAGAGAGTCTAAAAGTTTTGGTCCTAAAGTAATGGTTTTGGAGAGGTACATCAAGAATAGATAGAACAGTAGTATCCAGCCTCTAATTCAAAGGAAAAAAATATTTTTGAAAATATTTTACCGAGACACCTATAGATCAGGTTTCTTAACTCGGCACTGCTGACATTTTGGGCAGGATGACTCTCTGTTGTTGGGCTGTCCTCCGCACCGCAGGACACTCAGCAGCTCCCCTGGTCTCCACCCACTAGATGCCAGCAGCACCTTCTCCCTCTCCTCACTGTGTCACAACCAAGTGTCTCCTCTCATTGCCAAATGTCCCCAGGGGGACAAAACTGCTCCCAATCAAGACCCACTGGGTTAATCTTTTATCTTTCTTTACATATAGTAGAGCTTACTCACTGGCAACTTTAAAGCATCTAAATTTGTGCTATTAATTTTTCTCTCCTTAGTATTACTACCTAATAATAACAATTTGTCCACTCCATATGAAACAAAGGCACAAAGATAAAAACATCACACTGTTTCTAAACTAGGTGATAAAGGGATAGTAACCACAGTGAAATCTATGCTGAAAAAACTAAGCACACTCAAAGCAACAAAGTCTCAGTGCTATTTGATTTCAAAGCACACATAATTCTCTGTCTAAATGACATTTTCTTCACTTTTTCAATGACTCTTGGTAGACTCTTAAAGACAGGCTTACTCTTTCCTGCGGGCAGATTTCCGCTTTTCTTCATTAAGTTCATGAGCAGCATCTCGAAGTTTCACCTCTGACCCAGGGATACTGGCTGGAATGATATCTAGCTGAAGACTTTTACTCTGTGGAATAAAAGAGCCAATGAACTCAGTTAATTAAATCAGTAAAGAGGGAAATCAGGAAGAAGACCACGACTTATTCAGTTTGTACAAGGCAATTTACCGATTTGTTGGAATCCGAAGAAATACCCAGGGCCTTCTCCAAAGAGGTTCTGTACTTCTCCATCCGCAGAGAGAAATCTCTGTACCTCTTATCCACTGCAGTAACACATTTTTTTATCTCTGCTGCATGGGCATGCCCTTTTTCACAAAAGCCATCAGCCAGCTGTATCAATAGCTTTACTCTCTCTTTGGTTTGCTGCAAAAACAACAGGAAAGTATTGTGAAGCAAATGAACCCAACTGCCAGAAACCCGAAACACAGTGGCGACTTGCCTACAGCTCTGAGCTCTGATCAGGGGGAAAAACTGGTAGGAACTTAGGCTAAAGCCCCAAGTCCATCTGATCCACCTCCCTGATTCTGGACTAGCCACCTCTCCTCAGCTCTTCACAATGAATGGCACTTTTATGACCCCAAAGAAAAAATCCAGAATATCTTTCAACAATGTCTTCATCTGTGGGATGCTGAGGAAGAGCCTGCAGAATGAATGAAAGGAGGAACATTCACTCGGAGGTTCTCCAGAGCTCTACCCACTCCTCTGTTGAACACACACGTGCTTGTGACAGAGCGGACGGCGTCTTCCCTGCTTCAGGCGCCAGTTTGTTCTAAGTGCCCGGTCAGACTCTCAGCCCTTTTAGAGCAAGTGGCCGTGTGACTTTCTGGTTTTCCCGGAGCGAAGGCTGTGCCCACAGCAGGCATTCAACACAACTGGTGAAGCTCCCCGCCACAACACATTCGCTTCTTAACTCTCAGGAGATAGGGAGGAAAATGCGCTAGTCAGGAAGTTACCTTCATAGAGGTATTTTAAATTTTGTTCCTCTTTGAGAACTCTACCTTTCACAAGAAGATTACTTCATTTAATGCGCACATAGAAGAGATCTTTTACTAAGTACACTTTATGACTCTTCATGAAGGTAAAAACAGCTATAAAATAACAGTTATAGATAACTATATGGCAATTTGAATCAACTCTGATTTCTCAACAGATCTTTCTCTTCACATCTATTTCATTGACTATTATTACTAATTATTATTACTACTACTGTGCTCCCTTTGACATTCGCCTAGCATTTTCAAAGAAGTAAGTTACTGTTGCAGAACTTGCTTTTCTCAGTTAAGCTTTAACTGGTAAATCTTTATGAGGAATATTCAGGAAATTCACTTTAAAATCCCTGAAGAAAGAAGGTCAGAGTTCAAAATGCAGATAAACTACTTCAGCTTGTGAAACGAAAGTTTTCAGCCAGACTTCACTGGGCAACCTGTGGAGCCAGCTGTCAAGATACTTCAGACACAAAAATCCCCAGACCCACTGGCTGCCAGCCCCCTCAGCAGCTGCTGGCTGGCGACCTCGCTGGCTCCAGGGTGGAGCCCTCCTTGGGTCCCCTGCATGGGCACTTCTGCCTGGAATGCTCTTCCCCTGGATATCTCCATGGCTCCTTCACACCTCTGCTCAAATAAAGGCCACCTTCTCAACGGGCTTCCAGCGGGCCCTGTTGGACCATCTAGAAACTGCAGCTGGCCTCCCTGTCAGCTGCCCTCTGCTCTGGTTTTTCCCACAGCACACACCACCTTCTAACAGAGGTTGCAATGAAATTGTTAGGATCTCTGCCTGTCTCTATTCTGTGAGAATGTCACCCCCACAGGCCAGGGACATCTGCTTGTGTGGCTTGCTGACATCTCTCCCACCGTTACCCATGCCACCTGTGAGGGCACTGTAAACTATGTGTATGTATATCTTTAGGAGGTTAAGAAAGCTATTTAGTGTTTAAAGTGCTAGAACACAGAAATGAAGACAAAAAAGACAAGCTGCTTGCCTACATTAAAAAAGGAAACAAAAACTCCAAGAAGCTAAAGAAAGATTTCTAAACACACATCACAAAATATACCAGTTGCTACATATCACATCAATAGGCTGATACTGATTACATGGCACTACATGCAACATGGCAGATGTCCTACAAGTGAAGCCTAGTAGACTGATACATCTTCAGTGCATAAACTTCACTGAAACAAAAAATACTTATCAGATAGATAGTCAAAAGGCTTCTCAAAGAGGCCTTCCCTGGCTCTATCAAAGAATGCAACCCTCTCTCTGCCCTGTGGCGTTTTTTGTCTTCTTTCTGAGAGAGATTGATTGATTATGTGTGTGATTCTCCCCCCCCAATTTATCGTGCAATCCATGAGCCCAGCAGTTCCTGGCACACAGTAGGGGCATAGCAAATAATTGTTGAATGATAAATGGTGATAAAAATTAAGTAAAACAAATCTGCTAATCCATGAAAATTTCATATCTCGGTATATTTTTATTTTAATTAGTATTTTAAAAATACATTGACAGGAATCAAAAAGACTTTTAAAAAGATACAAAGTGAAAACTCTTCTCACCTCACCTTCCACTGTCACCAGCCCCACTGGGGATGACTACAGAGACACTTTATACAGATGAACCACTAAGTGCATATATATGTATACATATTTTTCTCCCTCACACCTAATGGGTACAATGCACACTCTTCGGGGGATGGGCACACTTACAACTTTGACTCACTGTATGAATCATGTAATTCATGTAACCAATACATGTAATTCATGTAACCAAAATGTTTGTACCCCTGTAATATTCTGAAATTAAAAAGAAAAGAAAAACAAAAATAGAGGTGCTTCTGAAAATAAACAAAGGATATATACTCAAAAACTTTGAGAAATAAAACACCACAGTTTCACAAGGTAACCCTAAAAGAGTCTCGAAACTGTTTTGAGCTAAAAGAAGGAAGCAATCTCTGCAGATATGTGCTTCAATTGGGAAAACATTCATGTCAATATGTGGATTCTTATATTATTTCCTTAAAAGTTCATATTTACTCACATATGCCATAAAGATTTAATTCTATTTAATTACGTATTTAATTCTATTTTGATTTTCAGGAGAAAAGTGAAAATGCCTCTAGTTGTCTAAGCCTATGTACACCCATTAACAGAGATGCTGCCATAAACTCTGCTAACCATAAAACATGGACAACTTCATGGTGGGACTGAGTGCAATCAACACTACTAGAACATTTTCCACCAACTAAAGACAAGGAAAGACAACACCTGCCATATACATAAAAGTCAAGTTGATAATACCCAATGGTGTTTCACAAAAATAGCAAGTACTCAGAAAATACCTTGGTAAAGAAAGCAAGAGAGAAAAGAGAGCAAGGGAATAATGAAAAGAACAAAGAAGAATGGAGGGAAAGAGAGGGAGGTGCCTGCAGATACCGAAGCGACAGCCAGGTACGGATGCAGGAGGGATGAGGACAGTGAGAGGACAGGTGTGAAGGGTGGTAAGAAGTGCCACCCAAGTGAACGTGCAACAACCCACTGGCTCACCCAGTCTCTCCAATTCCGAGAGTTATTACTTACATGATATTTTGGAGAAATCCCTCATTTTCCTGGAGTATTCCATTTTAGGTTATTTTGGGAAAACCCAGGCTGACTTATGGGCCACTGACCAGAAGTCCAGCACCAATCTGGATTTACCTTTGCAGTTATCTGAAACTCCTCGTGCTCTTTCAGTAGCTCCTGGGTGTGCTGTATACTTGAACCTGTCGAGGTATGTGTGGAAAGGTAGAACTCCCCATTGTCATGGATCCATTCTAACGCCTGGAGAGAGATGGAAGGAAATAATGTTCACAGGCTACACATCTGTGAGAGACGTTTAACTCCTGAGTACTTCGTCTAAATGTCAAATCACAAGACAAGGTTGGCATGCATCAAGAAACACTCCCTCCAAGAGAGACAAGTTTCTGAAATAAGTATCAGTTCCAAAGTTGTTTTAGAAAAAGACATTCTAGAAAGGTATAATCTTGTCACTTATGTAGCAATAAAAAGTTCAAGAGTTTCTTATAACCATGAACCTAAAGGCACGGTAAAAGTACAATAAAAGAAACCACAACTAAGATCCTTTTTTCAAGAATCCTGAGAAGATGTGGGTCAAAGGGGTGGTTTGAAAGTCTCACACAGCTAAATATCCAGACATTCACGCTACTGAAATTTTAAAACCTTACTGGGGTATTATAATTAAAAAAAGAAATAGAGAGCAGATGTATATTTCCAGCTCTCAACTCTGCAATTTTAGGTCTTTCTTCCTATTCCTGTGTCCAGCTAGAGCACCCAGGTATGTGCCCACTTCACATGCTTTTTGGGGACCTCCTGCAGAGGACGCTTCCACATTCTGCATAAATTACCACTGGGAGGACATGGGCAGAGACGTGCCGTAGCCCTTCTAGCTGGAAGAGAGAAAGGACTCCATCTGGGGAGAAGAGAACCAGCTAGGTTTAGATTGCAACAGAATGACGCTTCTTAGTCATATACTGTCTCAAGTGTTTAGAGGGCAGCCAATGTTTTCTCCTATTTTTATACATTTGAAGTGAAATCAGACTTATTTAAACATATACCCCTAAAAAGACCATGCTAAGGAAAAGCAGCATAAAGAAGTGGAGGGTTTACATTTGCCTTTGTAATCTCTCAGTTACTCACCATAATCTGCTGGTCTTGGGACAGAAATACTGGCTGTCTCTACTAGATATATCACAGCATTTGTGGCATTTTAACAGGAAAAAATGCAAAGGAAATCTCAACTACTACGAATGGCCGAGTCAGGGTTCCAGACCCATGGCCCAGGAACCTAGACCATGGAACCTGGGGACCTCTACAGTCTGGCACAGGCCGCCCACTTTGAGACTAGTATCAGCAAACTGGGACAAGATCTGCTCCCTAAGCGGGAAACCTATGCTGAGGAAAATTTAATTTTTCTTGAGCTAAAAAGATCTTACAGGGTGCCTACTCCGGCAGGCGTATACTAAGTTGCAAAGTGGATTCAGAAGACAGCCCAGGTCTGAGTCAAGGTCAGGATGTGGGTCAACGCTGCCCAACTGCACAGAGGGGCCCTGGGGGACTCTGTGGTCATTTACACAGAGGACACGAGGCGGCACACACCCAGCACCTGGCCTGGGGCCGGGCCACACTCAGGTGTCTGGGGAACGTGCCTTCTCTTCTGTTTCCCTCCCAACCCCCACATTCAAGATGAACAGTTTAGGGATTCTTATGCTTCATAAGGCCAGAAAGAAGTGATAAAAATCTTAATGGTTAAGACAGGCAGAAGCACTTTATCCCAAAAGGACCTAAAGAAGGGGGACATTCGGAATGTATCCCTTGATGCGTGAACATTTATTAACTACGCTAAATGATCAGAAATTCTGTCACATTTCTTAAATTTAGCTTGATTTACCTGAAAAATAAAACTTTGTCTTGAAAATACAAATACAATATGAAAAACCACCCATCACATTTACACAAGCACAGAACCAAGATTCCACAGTGATTTTTCAATCCTCACCATAATTACTGTTTGTACGTGGCTGAGTGAACTATGAGGTAAGGGCAGCAGGGGAAACCGAGCAGTGTGCTCCCCAAGGGTTGAAATCACTTTCTTCCCAGGTGACAGACTTTTACTAGGCTGAGGGGTTGTCAGGGCTTTCTTTTTAAAACAAACTGTTAGTTAAAAGGCAGTACTGTTTGCCATTAGACTGTGGTGTCCGACGTGGCCAAAATGCCAAGCCCTGCCTCCCTGGCAGCGGAAGGTGAGCGCGGGAGGGGCTGACCTGCTTGGCGCTCCGCTCAAAGACCACGTACTGCTGACACTGGTCCAGCCGTCTCTTCCGCATGGTCCAATAATGCAATACCCTGTTCTCCCGCTGGAAGAGCTCATTCAAGATATCTGAGAGAAAAAAGGAAAAGATGCGTGTTGCTGCTTGCAACCAATTAAAACACCTAAAAAATCCTGTGCACTTCCCCCTCCCCCCAGATTTTTATGCAAATGTTGTAGCAAGACAGAACATTAAATAAAGAACCACATTGCCTTTCTGTCCGAGGTTCTCCATGAGCATGTCGACCACACCTCTCTGCATTGTCTCATCATGATTTATTACATTGTAATAAAGAGATCACTGGAAACTTAAGGTCAGTCTGAATGTAATACCTCAAGTTAGCTGGATTAGTAGGATGTGTACATTTTATCTCTTGCCGGGGCAATTTGACAATGGCTAAAAAAACACCAGCATTAGATACTTTGTTCAAGACCATTAAAACCTTCCTGTAGATAGATTTTCATATATATTAAAGGTTATGTTAAAATGGTGGAGTACTAAAAGAAAACAAAGGTGGTTTTTAAAAAATAACCAAAAAAGAAACCATAAACCCTTAGGAGAGGAAGGGATGGAATTGGGAAGCAGAGAAGCATAAAGCCAAAAAGGCAAAAAAAAAAAAAAAAAAAAAAAACCCAAAAAACTTATTACACAAAGATTTAAAATGTCATAATCAAATAATAACCACCAAAAATATTACACAAAAAAATGTAAAGATTGAGAACATATACAACACAGATATAATTTACTTAATAGTCAACAGAAAAAACATGAACAATCCATTAGAAAAATGAGCAAAGCATATAAAACTGCAGCTCATAATTTTTAAAATATGGTCACTAAATCTATAGAAACATATTTAGTCTCATTCAAACAATGAGACCATCTTTCACTGTTTTCCTAGCAAAGACAGATAGTATCCATTGTTGGAAAAAGTGAGAGAAACAGGTGATTATGATCCTGCATGACTGAGGGAGAAAACCTGAGAACAATTCTCCCAGAGGGCAACGTGGCAGTAGGTAATGACACTGAAAACGTGTATGCCTTAGAACTAGGAACTTGTCTTTCAGACCAACAGTGCTCACACCAGTACTCAACGCTATGTGTACTAAGATGTTCAAACACCAAAGCGCTGGCCGGAACAGTGGAAAACTGGCAGCAATGAATGACCTCCCAACTGCGGAACAGGTCAAATCAATTATAGGAATGCTATACTGGACATCAAATTGAAGACAGCAGATCTTTAAATTCTGACATACAAAGAGGACTAAGAGCTATTCTTAAGCGAAAGAAGCAAGGTGCAAGGGAATATAGTTTTATTTTTGTAAAAAACTAAAAAGTGGGATATGTGAGTGGAATATACATGTTTACATTTCTGTACATATTTACACACACACAAGATGCACAAAAGTCTTGGCGGGGGTTACCAGTGGCAAAGGAATTAGATAACTTACATATATTTGTATAATTTTTAGATTTTTCTTTATAATAAGTATATTTTACTCTACATGTTTATGAAACAAACAACTTGAGAAAAAAATTCCCAGACTGCAACTGCAAATCACATTAGTGGTCTTCAGAATACTACTTTAGTATACTGGAAAAACCTTAAACAGGAAGTTTTCCACAAATATTCATTGAGCTCCTGGCAGGCTGTGTACTTGAGAAACAAAAGAATGGTATTTACATACCAGTTCAGTGAACACGTTTTATTATCTTTACTCCACTGAAAGATGAACTAGTTTAGTGAAAAAAAATTAAGACTTAAAAATTTGAAGTCTTTCAAAAAATTAAGCTACCACTTAATGAGAATACCACACATGAACATGAACCAATGGGTTTTTTCCAGTCTTTCCATTTCCACTGTCTCTGCCTGGGCCACCAGTAATTTTTGGCGAGCGAGCAGCAGACAGAGTGGTAACTGCCTCCTGGACATGGTGCTTCCTTCAGCCTCCGAGGGCCCCTCTGACCATGCAGCCTGACTCCTTGCCTGTGCCTTGGGGTTATTCTGTCTTTTCTGTCACTGTCACACTTACGTAGATTTACTGCACTGTCTTGAGCATAAACCTCTCTACCCCAAGTAGATTGTGAAAGAAACAGAACATCTCTATTTCAATCCTCCCCACACCCAGCTCTATGACGTACAATAGCAAGTGCATGATGAGTATCTAGTGAGTGAACAAATGAAACATACCCTTCTCTTGCCACAAATACATGTGTTAAACTATTAATAGTACAACCTAGAAAAAGACTGTAACATCCTTGATCAGAGAAAACAGCATACAACCAACAAAAGCAATATGGAGAGGTAGGAGAAAGGAAATTATTTTTATAGAAAATGAGCTAAGTAAACTGATATTCAATGCAAATAATTTGCAGGCAATAAAGACTTGTTCATGCAGAAAAATAGATGCTTGTGTTAGTTGCTCATTTTCCCCGAAAAAAGCCCAACAATTAATAAATAAGTCTCACTGATAGAACTTAGAGGACTTGCTAGTGTGATAGAAAATTATTCTGTGACAACAGAGGAACTGAATGAACAGAGAGTAGAATGTAATATTGAAAGTTTTGCCAATCATATTGTATTAAAAAATATGCGATGATTCATGTGTCAAATGATTATCACAATTATGTTCCTATAAAACTCAACTGAGGCTGTGTGACATTGGTCAAGGTAGTTATTTGCTCTGTACCTTACTTTCCTCATCTATTCACCTTTCCATCCACACCAAGCCTGTTAGTTACATATAGTACACACTTTCCCAGCCTTTTGCTATGCATTTACATACAGATATACAAACATGGTTTTATAGCTTTTTATACTGAAATGATATTTAAGTATACAATATTATTTTGCAATTTGCTTTTATTAATTAACCATGCCTTAGGTATAAAAAAATTGGTAACACTTTAGAGCAGTGATATTGGTACATAATTTCTTGATTTGAACTTCTAAAAATATTTTGCCTATAGATAAATCTGGTTTTCATTTTTTTCCTATTTATAATACTTTTTACTCATTTTAACAAAATACTCAATGGCAATAAATATCCTGAATCTACATTTTCTGTTTACATGCATCAATTTATTCAATAATTATCAGCCTATCAATTTAATATTTTATTATTAAACCAAGATAATTAGAAGGACTTCATTAACACAAAATGGACATGTAAAAACGAAACCCTAGATCCAGGAGTTTAGGACACATCAAGTCGAGCTCCTTCAGGGCTTGTGGGACATCCTGACCCACCGAGTCCCAGCCGTACTCACTTTTCACTTGCTGCTCAGGAGCTTTGATGTGTGTCACCATCCCCGGCATGTTCACGCTGTTCCTGTGCAGGTACTTCAGGAAGACATCTGCATTCCTCCTAGCAAGAGTGCAAGCCTGAGAAATAATGGAGAGCAAACTGTTGTTATTTGGCTTACACAAACGTGTATTTTGAGTATATTGGGATGACAACATCATGCAGCTAACATATGTCTTTACGTAAACCAGTTATCTGGCCAACTTGTGGTTTGGAAAATGCATAGGTTAAATACTATTTCAATTACAAAAGAATCTCTTTGTCCTGAAGCCTTTGCTCTGAAGATGCCAGCTGCTATAAGCTTCTCTATGAGGAGGCCCATGGGACACAGGAGACCGAGGGCAGCCACTGGCCTGAGCCCGAGAGGAAGGGAAGCCCTGCCACAGTTGAGCCTTGAGGGGATGGCATTCCCGGGCAGCGCGTGGACCTCAGCTATGAGATCCCTAAACCACTGGACCCACTAAGCTGTATCTGGATTTCTACATAAAGGGTAGATAGTAAATACTTTCAGCTTTGGGGGTCATACAGTCTCTGTCTTCCCATCAAAAGTCCTCAATCCCAACCACTGTAGATGAAACAGCCATAGATGATATGTAAATGAACACATGTGGCACCACTTAGCCCTCAGTTCGTAGTTCCCCACCTTGATTTAAGCCAATGAGTTTGGGGTAGTTTGTTATCTGGTGCTATTGTAATTAACAGGTAACTGATATTACCTGTTTATGTAGTAGGATAAACCAAATAATTTCATAATAATATATGAAATATATGAAATAAGTAATTTCATCATTATATTAAAAAATAAGGGTTTTATATAAGAGAAAAGGATATAAATATAAAATGAAAAGGTTAAGGAAAAAACCCTTAATTATATTTGAATTGGAACTACCTTGTACATTTCCTATCTCACATCTGGAATTAATCTTCTCTGCGAGGAGTTCCTAGTGATAAATGGTAGGACCATGATCTGGGCACTGGGGATGCCCAGTACTATTGGGCTGTCATTGTTTCTAGGCTTTTTCAGTCTCGGATACAGTTTTTTTTTAATTAAGAGAAAAATACAACACAAGTCTCCACATTGTCATACCAAACAGCAAGGAAGATGCCAAAGACCACTAGGATTATGTCTAAAGGACACCTGAGCAACCTGACTTGAAGGGGCTCCCACGGATGGGACAAGCAGAACATTAAAAGATAAATGACTATGACTGCCTGAAACACACCAAATATATTGAAATCCATGATGAGACTAAAACAAAGTCATATGTAGAGGTTGCTATGGCAACAATTCATGATCCTGAAAATAGCAAATAAAAGGATCAAGCATTTACTCTGCTTTTTCTGTACAAACTTTATTTTAGACTAACCAAGTAGCTGAGGAAATAATTCTAGCCATTGAGGCCAAAGGAATGACAGAATTAGAATATCACCATTTTGCAACTTGTAATTCCTAATGAAACAATACTATCACTGGCTGCTAAACCCAGTGGGTGAAAACATGGTGGGGAAATACGCAGGGATGAATGGGACACTCCACATGTGAACCACTGATACATCCTCATATCACAGAGATAAAAAAGAGAACCAGACATCATGTGCCCATCCCCGAGGCAGTGCAACAGGAAGTACAAACACAGGCAGCAAGGCCTGCTAAGGTCACCACAACCACACAGATATACACACACACACACACCACCACATACACACCACTGTACACACATGCTCCAACCTGGCTCTGACCAAGGCTCTCTCAATCTAACAAAAATTTAGAAGATTGCAAATGATGCTAAATGACTCCACAGGATGCAATTAGCAAAGTTCAGAATGGGAGAAATTTTACGTATCAATAACCTATTTCTTCAACTAATAAATCATAATAAAAAGAGGGGTGCTGTTTAGATTAAAAGTGATTCACAAGCCATACCAACCAAATCAAAATGTGGATCTTGTTTGAATCCTGATTAAAAACACATGTAAGAAGACATTTATAGGACAACCAGAAAAATTTTGACAATGCTAGACTTCAGATAATGTTAAAGAATTACTATTAATTTTAAAGATATGATAATGGTATTGTGGTTATGTTTTGTAAAAGGAGAATTTAATGTTTAGATATATACTATAATATTTACAAATAAAATTATATGATATCTAGAATTTGAAATCATCCACTGAAGGTGGGCATATGCCCATATGTTGATAATCACTGAAGCTGGGTGAGGGTTCATTATGAATTCTCTCTACTTTGTATATATCCTTAAATTTCCATAATAAACTTTTAAAATATCCTATACACGAATACTACAAAATCATGGTTGAACAAAGGAATCCAAACAGGCTTGTGATTACAGATGCCCCTCGACTTATAATGAGGTTACATCCCAATAAACTCATCATAAGTTGAAAATATAAGTAAAAAATACATTTAATACACTTGATCTACTCAGCATCATAGTCTAGCCTAGCCCATTTTAAATATGCTCAGAACATATACGTTAGTCCAGAGTTGGGCAAAATCAGCTAACACAAAAGCAATTTTATAATAAAGTGCTGCATATCTCATGTAATTTATTGAATAATGTACTGAAAGTGAAAAAAAGAATGGGCATATGGGTACTTGAAATAAAGTTTCTACTGAATGTGATATTTGCTTTCACACTATCGTAAAGTTGAAAAATCTTAAGTAAAACCATCATGAGTCAGGGACCATCTATTTTTGTTTAGTAATTTTACCCAAATTATCTTTCTTAATTATAATAGCTTAGTAGTATTCATTTTTCTTTTATCCTAAATGGATTCCTGAAAAAGACAAATTATAATAATTCCAACTCAAAATCCTAAAAGTGGTGGGCATTTAGAAAATTTGAATAGCAGTAACAAGTCGGGGGCAGGAGTTTCAAGGTCTTGTCTGACACGGGTGCAGTTAGTGACTGTGCAAACAACAATGCTTTCTCACCTTGACTTACTTAAAAAGTTACCAGATATAATGTTCAAAGTTACAATTTATTTTCTAAGACTAAACAACTCCCTCTGTCAGACGATCAGCTTCAGAAACAAAACAAAAATTGTTCAGCATCATAGGAAATGGTGTCGGAGAGATCGGAATGCTAAAGCAACGATTGAAAATAAGCTCCATAAAGCAACGAGGAAAAGTAAACACCACACCTATCTTAACAGGTCTGAGTAGTGATAATAAGCAGAATCCCAGAAATTCTCAGTCCAAGAATGCAATGCGGAAGCGCTCGGTGTCAAATGTTTCTAAACATTGTGACCACTTTAAAAATCTAATTGTTTCAAAGCACATCCATAACTTATGTGTATCTAAGTTGACATATTATAGAAATAGGACAAAGCAGTCTTGAAAAGTCCTTATTTAAAGCTTGTCAGAGAGAAAACTCCCAGTTCTGGTCTGCATGTGATCAAATTTCTCTCGTGGGAGGTGTTTCCTGAGTGGGTATTAGTGACTGATGCAGCAAGCCACAAGGCACTCAGGCTTTGTGTCTGCTCCACACCGTGCTAACACCTCTTCTGAGATACGATCTTTATTCCAAAGGCTGAATTTCCAAAAGAGGGTTATTTTAAGCTATACGGGTTACGTTTCACCAAATCGATCAATCAACCAACCAATCAATCAACCTCACTGTCTCCAGCATCGTTTGGTATGGTGACTTCCAACCAATCCTATTCACACAGATTTCTAGCTCTTCCTCCTTGAAAACTAGAAAGTGTAATTCACACATGAAAGACTCTAAGGTTTTCATTCCTCAACTACCTTCGCGCTGCTGCAACATTGCCCCAGTCACTTTCCACACGGTGAGAGCCATGGGGTATGTGGGGTCCCCGGAACGCCACGACTGTGCCACGCGCTGGGGCCCCCAGGAGCGCTGCGGCCTGCGCCGTCAGCGAGGCACCAGTGCCCACAAAGCCAGCCCCGTACCTTCAGGAACGCTTCCTTTTGCTCGAGGTGCTTGCTGATCATCGGGGTGACATGGTCCGTCTCGGAGTTGGGGCCCAGCTTGTCGGCTCCGCCACACCAGTCTTCTTCTCGCTTGTACTCTTGCTCCAGGCTCTCGAGGACGCTGCACACCTGTGAGCAGGAGAAAGTTCCAGGCTCAGATTTGCACCTGCCGCCGCCGACCGGCATCTGTGGGGAGCACTCTCAATCTGGCTCTGAGATGAAAGTGCTGCCTCCCGGGAGGACCCAGAACATAAGGAGGAGCCACGGGCTCCCTCTGACTTGAGGACAAATACAGGGTGGAAAGCAGGCGGCCTTTCAGAACAAGAACAAAACCAAAGCTGAACATCCTGCCTCTCTCTGACGCGTTCTAGGCCATACATTTAAATAAGTGGAAAAGAGGTGTCGTCTCAGCTACTTTCCCACTTACCATCCTCTGAGACCTAAGGAAAGCGAGAACAATCTTAATTTCAGAATGTCTCTTCCCTGCGTGACTTGCAACGAGCTGGTTCCGTAATGACTGACGCGTTATTAATGACCGAGCTGTCGAATAAAATTAACCTCAAGATAAAATGTCAGTGCGGAGCCCAGGGAAGGGCCCGCTGCCCTGACCTGCTCTGACGTCTTGTAGAAGGCGACCGAGGCGTTGACGAGCTTGAGGCGGTCCTCCATCTTCAGCATGAGCTGCTGCCAGTGCGAGGCCACCTTCTCGGCGCAGTCTCGGATCATGTCCATGTCGTAGTGATTGGCCTGCAGCATGGCCTCCGCCTTCTGCTGCACCTGCAGCGCGCTCTGGTGTGTCTTCTAGTGACAGAAGGGGGGGGGTTATTCAACAGGGTGTCACCCACTGACTGGGAAGGAACCAGGATGGCTACGGCTACTCTGCTCATCGTGATTGTGTAGAAACAACTTCCATTAATATTCACTAGGACGCTTCTAAAAGCACAGCAGATAGTTTGGTAAAAACGTTTTTCTGCCCAGCAACAACTAAATTTATATTTAAATGAGCTAATGAAGGGTGAAATACAGTAAGACTTCCCAGAATGGGCCTCAACTGTGGGGTTCTCAGCCTGAGAAACAGCAGCAAAGACCCTTAACAGCCAATGTTGTTTCAAAAAGCTGTTGAAATGTTCCAAGTTTATTATTCCTATTGATCCTTCTTATAATAGCCACTGGAGTTGCAAATAAACAAGTGAAGAAAAGGTGGCCAGAATGAATACATTTTTCCTTTTAATTTTCATTTTCAACTTAACTTTGGACTCCAGTGAAAAGTTTTCAAGAACTACAAACTTAAAGAAGACAAGAAAAAATTAATGAAAAGCTAAGGATGAACCGACTGTTCTCTGGAGGTCCATGCCATACAATACATCTATGAAAATGACACGGCAAGTCCAGGAAGAACTTTGCTAGTCTACTCTCATTAGAAGACCCACGAGTGACAGAGAGGTCAGGTTTTCTCCAGTGAAAAACCAGAACCCTGGGTGGGGGCGGGAGATAGTTACAGGAGCATATGGGTCTCTGTGCACACAGATTTTTTTTTTTAAATAGCAAAATCTTGCATTTCACCCAAAAACTTGTGAATGATTCCATAAAATACTATGAACAATATAGTCCCAGCCTTTACCCATGACTTAGTATTTGCAATTTACTTACTAGAAATCATTGGCACAGTGTACAGTTTTCAAAAGATGCCCAGAATTTGAGCCTTGGGAAGAAATGTTAATGTTTGTCCATTGGCAACAAATAGTTGAAAGTAAATTAACCCAGGGAATAAATTAGTGGTGACTTCTACAGCTTTCTTCTCTGGCTGACTATACATATGTAAGTAGAGCAGGAAACAAGTTTTCTATAATTGAATGCTCTTTTTCTCTTGACTTTACCTTGCGACCACCAATCAGAACTATTGCTCATGCTCCTCTACCCTGCAAAAAAACCCTAAAAAAATAATTAGTCCACATCCTGAGGGTGAATTTGGGCAGGCCTGGAATTGGCCTGAGTTGTTCTGCCATAGCACTGACCCCCGTGTCAAGGTGAACGCTGCTGCTTTTAAGCATGGGTGTGAGTTTTGTCATCAGCACTGTTTCCAGATCGACAGTAAATTCATGATGGCAAGACCCCCCGAGTGCTCTGCTTTGTTGAGGTTGGTTACATAGTGGGAATATGCCTATAAGACCAGCAAGACACAAAGCATCAGCTGAGACCCCAATCTGTACTCCCTGGTTGTTAGGAGGAGTTTCTGATTGGAGCAAGTGTGCCCTGCCAGGGACCACAGAGTGGGAAAGCAACAGGAACCTTCCCCCTATACCGGCCCCACTGCGGACCCCTGCTGTGAGGCCGCCTGGCTGGGGTGTGCATCCTCACCTCACTGCAGCTGCCACACTGTTCCCCCTTCTGCTGCAACCAACTGTAGATTTGTAAGCATTGTCATTTTGGGTCCCATGAGTTTTCTGCACCAATCGAGCCCCATTTGGCTCCCAAAGTCAGTGCCATGATAGGGGATTTAGTATGTTTGCCCTGAGGATAGAAAGACCCAACTCACAGAGACAGCACCAGGCATTCTCACCTCGATGGCATGCTGGAACTGTTCGTGCTCTCTCTGGAGCTGCTCTGCCTCTTGTAATGAGCTGGCTGTGATAAGTCCGGCGTTTAACATGGACTCTCCATTGCGGATCCAACCCAGCACCTGAAACGTTACACAAGATAAGTCCAAGCAGTGGACTTTCCAGGGCATCCTGCAGACCCCCAGGGACGGGACACGGACCGGCAAGGTGGTCTAGTGGCTCAGGGCACATAAGAAGTGTGATGGCTTTACTGGCAACAGCCTGATGTCCTTCAATGGTATCTGATCCCAAATGCTAACCATTTTAAATTAACTCTGTTATTTTTAGTAGAGAACAGGAAACGAAAAGGTGGAAGGTCCAGCAGATTGTCAGGATTTGACCACAGGTTAAAACAGCTTGAGGACGACATATGAGAAAACCTATGGACACAATTCCCCGATAATTAAGTATTTTCATTCCCTTTCAGTATTTTTAGGTCTGAAAAATGGGCAAATTGCTTGATAAGGGGAAACAATTATTTCAGTAACTTACTTTCCAATCTAACGTCAGTGTCAAATGGCACAATAACCAAAGTGTGAATTACGCTGTACTACAATACTCAGGGTCAAACGGTGAGATTCTCAACTTTTCACACAAACAAAAAGAGAAGTCAATGCTGACAGCAGAAGCCGCAGAAATAGTGGGAGGTCATGCAGGATAGTTACCTTTGGCAGGGATCTCTAGTGACCCACATGATACCTATTCTCTTATCGTTTACTAAGAAAACCCCAACTTTGGTGGGGAGCTTAAAAATAAAACCATTTCTCAGCTCCTGTTACAGCTTGGTTACAGGTATGACACAATTCCAACCAATGAGATCAAAGCTGCAGTCAGTCACTGGGGAAGTTGTGAAAATATTTCTTTTCTGATATTGCTGCTACCTCTTTCTTGTGCTTCCCACTTCCTGATGCCAGGGATATGGAGGTGATCGATGGAGCTATGATAGCCATTTGGCAACTGGAAGAGAAAGGCCACCCGTCACCAAGATCTCAGGCCAGTCCTGGGACCACTAAATGGACACCAGCAATCTACTAAATCCTGACTCATCATGTGGGGAAGACAGCTTTTTCAAGCCACTGTTTTTTAGTCTCTGTTACAGTAAAAGGCAATTCCTAAGCGAAACATTAATTTACTCCTTCATTTCTTAAATGAATTATTTTGTTTTTGGCAGGAAGGAACCCTTTATTAACAGGTCACAATACTTATTTCATTCACATGTAAAAATATCCATACTGATGGCACGTGGGAGATCAATAGGTGCTCTTTTAAGCAGTTCAGATTTAACAGTATTTCTGCTCTAACGTGAGACCACCTACCGCTGCACCACAGCTTACTCGTGGTCCACTGGCACCTTAAGTCCCCTCCAGCCCAACGTTTGCTTTCTGTGCGTCTACCAGAACACCACAGCCTTATCTCCCTCCACCACGCTGCCTTCATCAGCCGATGCCCTGCTTACTGGATAAGATGTCATATCAATGCATGGAATCCCACCAGCACCGAGCCAAAAGCAATCCCTCCCACATGTCCCATTTTTATTTTGCTCTGCCATCCTGAAAACACAAGAAAAGCCTCAGCCATTCATAGTCTATGATCTGATCCAGATCATGACAATATTTGGCAGAAAAATCATACAGTTATTAGCCCAGGAAGCAATGTGCTCAGGGTTTCAAGCAAGGCACTACCAACAACCAAACAAACTAACGATGCTACTCTCAAGTGCTACACCTGCCAGGCAGGGAAGCCTTTTCCATCACAGAGAGAACAGACAGCCGTCCAGGCCACCAGCTCTGCTCCTACGTCAGGTATGGCTGTGGGGGGGAGGGGCGGGTGGACAGTTATCTCATATATTGGGACAGTTATCTGTTCAGGGACCATCTTCCCTGAAGCGACAGGAAGATCCATCACTCACTGGGCGTCTGTAGTGCAGCTTCGCGGGCGTTTGCTTACCTGCTTCACTTCTGCCTGCAGGTGGCGGAGCTGCACGCACTGCTCCAGGTGCTTCCGATGCTGTTCTGCTGCTAAATCCAGCTCCTGCTGTTTTTCGTGAAGAAACTCCAACAGGTCCTGGACCCGAGTCGCCATGTCTACATCTCTATCGCAGAGCAACTCCACGCCTGCGGACAATGAAGGGAGATCCTAGCATCCGGCTAGCACTTCAACCTTCTGCTCTTAAATGGTGGAAAGCACACAATCTGCTTATGTGAGGTGCCTGCCCGGCTGGGGCCAAGCCACACACTGAAGGGCAAATTTGAGGCGGGCACAGACGAGCAGAAGATCACTTACGCCTGCCTTGAGCAGGTAAGTGTGCGTGAAGGGATGTCTTGATACCCAAACCAAACCCATTTCCCATCAATCTGCTCCTGACCCCACATTGAGAACTAGGGAAAGTATAGCAGCCTTTTCAAATGAATTCAGTTTGTTTTTGTTGTTAAACTCAACATACACAGTTTACTCTTTAGTAAGTAATCTGTGAAAATGAGTTAATGCAGTATACGGGTTGTTGCTAAGTAAGTTTCTAATACTGTAAGTTACCTTTTTGAGCCTATAGTGACATCTGCTGGTAAAATATAAACTAAAAATAAAACCAAGAACATGAAACTATTTTCTTGGGGTTTACATTTCATTCACAGAGATACAACATATCATTTTGTAAAATTAAAGTTAATGCTCCTCAAAATAATATGGGAGAGTACCATGGGTAATACTCTAACCATAATGCTAACCAACCATGACTGCATTATGTGCAGAAAAAACCCACAAAACACTTCCTGTTAAAGAACAGGTATCTCTAATATCTATATCTTAGGGGCTAACAACATTTACAGTCGTCACATTGAAATAAATTGAATTCCCTGGTGACATGAAGTGACCGCAAGGGACACAGAATGGAAGACCCTTCTTACCAGAGGCCTGTACTTCGTTGACGTACTGCAGAAGATCCTGCCCTTGGTGGATGACGTCGAAAGTCAAGTTGTTCATGGTCAAGGCTTTGTCTGCGTGGTGCTGGAGGCGCTGCTCTGCGATTGTGAGATCCTCTGTGTCAAAGTCATTCATTTGCTGAGAAAGCTCATCATTCCAAGACTCAAGGTCTGAGATTATCTGAACGAGGAAAGTATTTGTTTAAGACCAAGATAAAAAATAAACATATGCCACCACATCTCACACTGTGCCAAGGAAGGAAGGAACAGACTGTGTCAAAAGGACACAGAAATTAGACACTTAAGATGGATGAGTTTTGTGGTATATAAGTTGACTCTTCAATAAAGCTATTAAAAAAAAAATAAATGGACGCAGAAGCCAGATGAAGGGGTTCACAGTGGCCAAAAATGGGACAATTAGATACTAAAAAACTATCACAACTGAATAAAATATATAGAACATACAAAAACCCACTGATTCCTAATGATATTTAAAAAGCAGTAAGAAGAACTAAACAGCCAAAAAAATTAAGAAGTCTTTGGTCTATATTATGGGTAGATAGGACACCAACTGTTATCCTAAAAATTAGTGCTTAAAAAAGAAAAGTAATTATTTAAACATTTCATGATGAAGGAATGTTCCTCTTTACAAATTAATCCATCCATTTAATATTAAATGCAGAAAGAATAAAAATAGAAAATTGTCTGTTTTCACATTCTAGTAAAATAACAATTTCAGGCAACAATCATTAATGCATAGTAACTATCATAGGAAAGGTGATGAGAAAGATTGCATGAAAGGGAATTTAACCATGGGAAGGATCAGGATGCCACTGGCTGAACATGCAGACCAGTCTTAGCATCTCTAAATAAGTCGGATCAGACAGGATGTGCCTTCTAACAGGGAAATGCATGATGTACCACCTATGGTGTACTTTTGCACAAAAACAGAACCTGAATCTAATCAGGTCTTTGCATCTAACTTCCAAGTGGAGAGGAAATGTCAGGGAAAGAAAAACAGTTAAACAACCTAGAAGAAATCAAGTCAACAAATGCACAACGTGAGACCTGGTTGCTTTGACAACTAACCTAAGTATTTCAACAAATCGAGGCGTGAAAAAAAAGGAGGGTAGAAGAGACAATTATAGATTATGAGACTGACCAACAAATTCAAGAGGGAACCCCAGGATTCTCTTACTTGAGGCACTACATAAATCTGAACACGGCGGGGAGTCAGGAGACAAGGAGAAACGACTGTTAAATTGGGGAGATGTTCAGTAGATCATGGGTATGTCAGAAAGTGGCCTTAGCTCTTAGAGATACCTAGAAAAGTCTTTAGGAGTGAAAGGATAAACCAGCACAGATTTTCTCTAAAATACTATAGCACAACAATAACAAAAGAAGGCATGCAAGGCTGGCAAAATCTTGTTGAATTTGGGAGACAGGCATATGGAAGTTTCACTGTATTATCCTCTCTACACTTTTTGATAGGTTTGAAAACTTTCAGAGTATGATTTTTAAAATAAGACCAAAAACTGTAAATCCAAGAGAGGAGGAAAAAACTTTTTTGTGAAAGAATATACTACACATTTCAATGGAATAACATTTCCCCTGGGTCCTAACTCACTTTATCCACCAGCACAAACCAAGTCAGTATGAAAATTGAAAACCTTGATCCACCTTTGAAAGATGAAAATGCTATTCCAAATGAAAGACAAGAGATATGGGGATTAAAAAAAATTAACCAAGTAATTGGCCAGGCGTGGTGGCTAACGCCTGTAATCCTAGCACTCTGGGAGGCCGAGGCGGGCAATAGCTCGAGGTCAGGAATTCCAAACCAGCCTGAGCAAGAGCAAGACCCCGTCTTTACTATAAATAGAAAGAAATTAATTGGCCAACTTATATATATAGAAAAAAAAAATTAGCCGGGCATGGTGATGCATGCTTATAGTCCCAGCTATTCGGGAGGGAGGCTGAGGCAGTAGGATTGCTTGAGCCCAGGAGTTTGAGGCTGCTATGAGCTAGGCTGACGCCATGGCACTCACTCTAGCCTGGGCAACAGAGTGAGATTCTGTCTCAAAAAAAAAAAAAAATTAACCAAGTAACAGATGGATTTCTACCATAAATGTAACTCTGTGCTTCCTACTGGCAGTTAGATGTGGCATTTTCCCAGATAAGAGAGGAAATTGCAGCCAAAGCCTAAACTACTCAGATTTTCACATTTCAGGATTTTTAGAGAATAGAGGTTCTCAGGCCATGACCTTCTAAAAGCTTTTAAACTGTATCTGATGCTGGCCTGAGACTGAACTACAGGTGTAAGCTCCTCAGCTCTGGGGCACTCTCACCTGGGGTTGGACACGCTGGCTTTATCTATGGCACTTGCAATTCTGAGGCTTTAGTGTGGGGAAAATGTATGTTTTTGTTTCCTGATCTGGTTTGATGAAAGTGGAAATACAATTAAAAAAAAATTTCCCTTTAAAGTAGCATTAGACAAATGAAGTCAAATTTTTTTTTTTCAAATACCAAAACGTTCTAGAAAAAAAACTTCAACTAATGCTTCTGATTGCTTTTTATTTCTTAACTGAATATATGTATTAAGCAGCTAAGTTTTGGCAAAAGCAAGTCCCCTGAAGTCAGGGAGGAAAACAGGCCTGCTCTGCCTTCTGTGGATGCAGGCCCAGGCCACGGTGGGCCCTCTCCAGGCAGGAACCGGCAGGCAGATGCCTTTTCTCTGCCAGGCTTCACCCGGATCTAAAGCTCATGACTCTGAGGGCATCTGAGCAGGTTTTACCAGGGCATCTGAGCAGGTTTTACCAGGCAATGTGTTTAGGGTTGGACTCCTTTCTTGTTGTAACTAAAATGATGACAATGAAAACATCCAAGAAGGTCTGTCTTTAACCACTTGGGTACGAGCGTCGACTATAGTCGGTAGCCACAGATGACTGCGCACAGCGACTTTAGTCAACAGCCATGATATGAAGGAGCACAGCCGAGTGTAGACTTTAGCCAACAGCCATGATTATGTCTTTTCTAATTTTTCATTTATCAAAATAAAAATTGTGAACATTTAAAAATAACGTAATAAAACCATGTATGTATATGTTACCTATTCTGATTTACATGACAAGTAAAGCTGCCTGTAAAGTAAAACAAGCTTTCAGTGCTTTAAAACTTTTCTCATCACACAAGAGCAAAATGGATCCGTCGTCAATGCACAGCACAAACTATCGTGCGGACTGTGAGTGCCGGTTGTGGGCAAGGTTTCATGGCCAGAGAGTGACGTACCGCAGTGGTTAGTGAAAATAGTGCTTGAGGTTTGGATAAGCAGCCACCCAAAGGCACCCAGAGAAGCCTGCACAGGATGGCCTGGTGGAAACTGCCCTCAGCGTGGGGCCCACAGACAGGCCCACTGCAGGCGGAGGGCCCCTCCCTTGAGCTGGGGTGACCCAGGGCTGGCCTTGCACCTGCCTGGGGCCACACTTCAAGGTCTGAGTCTGAGTGCCCTCCCAGCACTGTTGGAGCTCTAAGCCAAGAGTGAGTAATAAACATGGAGAGGGTGTGCTTTGCAGACTGCCATCGGCAGTCACAAGTGCCACCAAGGCAGCTAACAGGTACCCAGGAGGCCTGTGGGCAGTCATTGCCACCAGCTGTGTGAAGCTGCCAGGCGCCCGGCCTCACCAGGATGAAGAACTTCGGTTCCTTTTATCATGATGCACAGTCTTACCTGACGATACTCGCTGCTGCTTGCAGTATATTAAGTTCAGAAAGAAAGACCTTCCTTACCATAGAATTCACAACCCTCTTTCTGTTAAAGATAGATAAAAGAAACTGATACTTCTCTCTTCTATTCACATATAAGGTGCAAAAGCAACTTTTACTTAAGAATTACAATCTAAGAACATCTCTGAGGAAAAATAAATTGGTTTCCTACTACCCAAACTGCTATCCACACAGGCTAAGATTATTCCCACTCTGGAGGGGAAAGAGAAAGGGAGGAAGGGATAGAAGGGGTGGAGGAGGGAGAGAGGACTGGAGAGGATGGCTGCCCTAAGTCGACGGCCGTGCTCCAACGACACAGGAGTGCCGTGCTCCACCCGGTCAAGGCTTAAACGTGTGGAGACGAGGAGACAGGTGCGCTTGTTTCCACCCATTCACTCGGCACCTGCTCTGGTCCTGCTGCCTGAGCTGCCTTCCCTACAGTTTCTGACCTCAGAGCCCAGAACCGAGAGTCCCTCAGCTGCCCAGGACCACTCCCCGTGTCCCCCGCCCTCCTCCTTGTGCAGAGGGTGACGGGTGGAAGAGGACACCGGCCTGAACAGGGCGGAGGACAGAGAGGGAAGCCGGGCCCCAGGAGCGGAGGAGGGGCACTCACGTCGATGGCATCCCTTTCAAAGATGCGCAGCTGCAGGAAGAGCTCCAGCTTGATCTTGCGCTCCTGGAAGAGCTCCTCCATCTGCGACTGCGCCTCGTCCAGCTGCTGCAGCACCGTCTCGATGTGGCTGATGGAGCTGTTGTGGGGGGTCTTGTTGCTGGAGATGGCGGAGTCCCTGCGAGAGGCGCACGAGGGAAGCGGGTTAGCAAGACAAACAGGAACCGATGAGAAAGTCTCACATTGTTAGATGCCAGATCCGGCAGCTCAGATCTTCAGGGGGAAGAAAGCCGGCAGGAAGCTGGACTGGCCGTCCCAGAAAAGGGAACACGCTGCCCCTCCTGCAAAACAATATTAGGCTTCCTCCTCTGAGCCGTACCGCCAGACCCGAGGGGGTGCTGAAGAATTTCTCTGGCACCTTCTGAAGTCACTCTTGTAAGAAGTCTAATAATTACAGAAAATTACTTTAGTAGAGTTTTATTTTTAGCCACTTTTGTCCTTAACTAGAGAGAATATATGATACCTGTTTAGTACAAACAATAGAGCCATATTGGACAGGGGAGCTCAACCTTTAATGCCATCCATTAGGCCTGTAGTAAGTAACTTTTGCTGCCTCTCTTTTGGCAAAGTGAAAGTCATATAAGGTTATCAAGTCAACAATTCGATAAAACTGCCCTCTGCGTCACACAGTGGGGAGGTTAAATGTATGTAAATGGTCCCCCTGACCCAATAAAAGGAATGTGCTTCCAAAGGAAACAAAACCACCAAGCCCAGCACCGCCCCCGCCTCCTGCTGCCAGGAGCCCCGGAGGGATGGGTGAACTGCCCTGTAGCTGCCGAGGCCTGGAGCTGGGAGGAGGACGTGATCCTAGGAGGTTCACGTTAATCTGGTTTATAAAGAAACTTCAATAATTACTAGGTAAGTGTTACGGGGAAATATTCAAAGCTGAATTCTGAGGTTTATTAGTCAATGTGTAATGAAAAAAAAACAACTCTGAAGTTTAACTGTATGGGAGGGAGGAGAAGGAATAAAGAAGGGAGGGAAGAGCTGTTACACTCCTCTGCCTGCAGAGATGTTCTCTGTTCCGCACCTAGCTGGACAAAGAATTAGCGCTAACGGTTCAAAACAGTGAAAGAGGAAGGGGGCCACTACTAGCAGGATGGCAGATGCTCTGTGCTGGGACGGAGGAGAGGGGTGAGGCCCACCTCAGCTGCTGGATGAGGTCCTCGCCCTCCTTGATCACGTTGACGGTCACCTGCAGCGTCGTCTGCTGCTGCTGGCCGAAGCGCTTGATGAGGTCCTGCACGGCCTCCACCGACTCTGCGTACACATCGTCCAGCAGCTCCTTCTGCAGCTCCTCCAGCCACGTCCAGAGCTGGGGAAGGGGAGAGGGCGGTGAGGCGGGCGGGCGGGCGGGCTGGGTGTGCAGCCAGGTGGGCCGCCTGGCGTCCGAGGGGGCCTGGCGCGGAGTGGCGTGGGACATGCCGGGAGGCAGAGGCTGACAGACCACTCCCAGAGGGAAGGAAGGAAGGCAGGGAGGGAGGGAGGGGCCTCCCGGCAGTCCCACTGCCAGCGGAACACACGCACAACAAAAGCAGCATGCCACCACCGCCGCGTGGTAAAAAAACAAACAGGCAGTGAGGCGGACCGACTGTCACAAAAGAGAAAAAGGAAAGGGAAGGGAAGTCGCTCTTTCCCATTCCTCCGAGGCTGAATCCAGACCTCGATGGAAATAAGAAAAGACGCCCTCAGACAACAGAAACGTCCACTGGAGGTCAGAGGCATTCTCTGACGTGCCTCTCTCACTTAGCGGATGGATAGTTTTATTTTATTTTCAGCAAGGGCATTACCATCCGTGTTTAATTATTAAACTATCACTCAGAGGCAGGGGCTTTACCTCAGAACAGGAGGAAGCAGAGGATGTGGTGGGAGCAGCCCCCGCCCAGCCTGGCAGGGGTCCGCACGGCCCTGCTGGTAACGATGCCAGCCTGGGCCCCACCCCCACCCCCTCCACGGAAAGTGTGCACAGCGAAAATGCCCACGACCCCTCGCTGCCACTACCGCCACACGCCACTGGGGACCTGGACAAGCTCAGAGCAGGAGCGGCAAGGACTACTTCAGGCCAGGCAAGAGCCCGGGATCAGAGCACTCGCCCACTTCCTGGAAGTCCATTAACGCCTCCAGATCTCGGGGGTGCTATTCAGGGAACCAAAAAAGTCAATTAATTAAACTGAGCAGGCCCTGGTGGCTTGGTGGGGGTTTGTAAGTAGAGAAACTGCTTTCGGCTTCCTTGGGGATGGAGGAGTCATCTCACGCATCTTCCGTGTCTGGTAAGGACGGCCGCCTCCACTGAGCTGAGGCCTGGACCCTTTGTCCAACGGCTGCCACCTTCAGGGCTCATAAGTCAAATCTGTACTTGCAAAAAGAAACTAGAAACTGTGCTTGCATTTGGTCTTTTCTTTCCCAGCTAGCTTTTCACAAAACAGCTTTATTAAGGTACAACTGACATACAATAAACTGCACAAATTTAGTGTCCAATGTGAGTTTTGACATTCATCTACACCCAAAAGTCCACTGCTATAGAGACTGAGCATCTCCTTCACCCCAAAAGTTTCTTATGCCCTTTGCCATCTTCCCTCCCTGGCAATCGCTGGTCTGCTTTCAGCCACTATAGATTAGCTTGCATTTTCTTTAAACATTTATAGAAGTGGAATGTGATCATACAGTACGTACTCTTTTTTGGTCAGAGTTTTTATTTTGAGACAGATTCTTGCTTTGCTCCCTGAGCTAGAGTGCAGTGGCATCATCATAGCTCACTGCAACCTCAAACTCCTGGCTCAAGCAATCCTCCTCCTTAGGCTCCCGAGTAGATGGGACTATAGGCACGCACCACCGTGCCCAGCTAACTTTTTTACGTTTTGTAGAGATGGGATTTCGCTATTTCCCAAGCTGGTCTTGACCTCCTGGTCTCAAGCAACCCACCCACCTCGGCTTCCAACGTGCTAGGACTACAGGCTCGAGCCACCACACCTGGCCACAATTTAAGCAAATGTACATCTGAAAAAGACCCTCAGAACATACTTTCTTTCACTCTAACCTGATAAGAAGAAATATTTCTGACAACAAAGATAAAGGAGGCAACTCTGACACAGATATTGGGCCTGTATGACGGTAGGAGGTGCCCAACACTAGGTGACAAGCTGCCGTTCTGGGCATGAGAAGCTAGGTCCACTGCAGGCTGCAGCCAATGGTGGCCTCTGGTTTTAGCTGCATCGCCTCTTTAAGAGCTAGATCCTTATAACACTAATAGAAATTAGTTAGTATCTCTTCTTTTAAATCTGTTGAGAAAACAACACAAGTTTTTTTAAAAAGCCTACTAGGAAAACATAGCAAAATCAGCAAAACACAACAAAATTAATTAAGACAGCTGGTAGAGTATTTGTACGTCCTGGGCCAGATACGTCTCTTAACAGAGCCCCTGAATACAGGCATCCCACCACTCCCCTCCCCCAGCTCTGCTCAGGTGAGGCGGGAGGTCAGGCCCCCAGCACAGGCTCACTGGGTCCTCACCCCGAAGCCCTGTCATGTGAGACTCAGGGCCCCTGCCTGGGAGCTCAGCGGCCTGTCCCCAATGCATCACTCAAGGAGGCCTCACTCAAGGACCCAACTCGTGGGACCGGCTGCCTGTCTGGGTAGGGACATCTGCAGAATTCCTCTTCTCCAGCAAACACTACCAAAAGTACAATTTATGGTGCCATTTTAACGAGTCTCACTTTTATATGCTGGTGAAGAGAAGATAAAAAAAATGACTCTTAGAACTGGTCTGATGCCCAATGCACCAGTGTGCTTCCATATAACTCCACTGCAACAGCATAAGAATTAATGTTTCTTCATAAATGAAATTTAAAATGGAACACTTCTCATGAGAGGTAATACAGAATAACGATTAAGAGTGTAGGTTCTGAAGCCAGAGTTCAAATGTGGACTTAACATTTCCTAGGGTGTAACCTTTGGCAAGTTACTTGCCTGGATCCATGTCTCAGTTTTCTCATCTATAAAATGGGCATAGTAATAATGTCTACCTCAAAGAGTTGCTTGGAAGGTTGAATGAGATAACGTAGAGTGAAGAAATAAGTAAATGTTAGTTCTAAGAAAAATTTCAGTTTTAAAATCATCTTTCTCTAGATATTTTTCAAAACATACCAGGTTTCTACCAATTGTTCAAAACACGTCACTTAGTTTGGTAAGCATAACATCATCCCATATTTAAATCTTTTACTCCTAAAAATAGTACAGTATGAGGAAAAGGTACTAGGATTCATCTGTTAGAGTCTATAGAAATCACTTCCTCTCAATTATAGAGGAAGTGCCATGAGTACTTGGGTTTCAAACCTCTTCCCTTCTGCTTGGTGGTTTTTTTGTTTTTTGGGGTTTTTTTTTGGTAAGAAAACCCAGCTTATTTCCTATAACATCTTGGACATTTTTACATGTGTCCATGGTGGGATTTGCTCACCCTGCCTGGCCGGGCCAGTGAAACCAGTAAAGGGCCACAGCCACAGAGGAGACCATACAGAATCTGATCCTGGGATCCCATGGTTGACAAAAGGAAAACTAAATGAGGTAGAAGAAGCAAGGCTATATCTTAAACTATTTAAAAACATTTTCTCCTTTAAAATTGTTCTGTCTGGTCCTATAGGAAATATTATTGTAAAATTTGGAGAAAAAAGTGTAAGGTAAAGGTCCTTTCTAAAGTCAATTGGGGATGAACTGACATATATCATAATGCAACATCACTCAAACAAAGTCTATTTTTAAGCTTTTAAAATGGTACATATGATGTCTAAAATACTCCTGAATAAAGGAATATGAGAAAGTCTCTAGGATGCCTACACAATTCTCATCATAAACTTCCTAAGACTGAAAACAACTGCACTTCTGTGCATCCTGCTAATTTACAATAAAAAGTTAAATGTCTGTCCAACAGCAAGAGAGGAGTTGCAATCTATGAAAATTCACAGCAACCCACATTCTACGTCTCAGACCATGGGCTGGGCAGCCAGCCACAGGATTAGGTAACGCTGCCCCCTGGAGGCCACTGGAGCTGCTGCCGACAGTCTCTAGCACTGAGACAGGATTTGCAAGCCAGAGTGTCTGGCAGAAGAGAATTTAAACAAGCGCTTGGTGAACAGAAGGTATTACCACTGGTGTCTGTTTCCCTACTCTTGCTTTTGACAAAGACAATCATTCGGGCACTTGTGGAGATGGGGGAGCCACAAGGCCAGCAGGGGAAGTGTGAAAGCCATAGCTCCCCGGAGCTGCAGCAGTCGGAAGAAGTAGGCAGTTTCAATGGCAACTTGCAGGTGGAATTTCAGAGGGCAGCCACTATACACATAAAACATGACTCAATAAACAGGGACAAGGCCGCACCTATAATCCTAGCACTTTGGGAGGCCGAGGCGGGAGGATTACTTAAGCCCAGGAGTTCGACGTTGGAGGGAGCTATGATGAAGTGACTGCACTCTAGTCCTGGAGACAGAGCAAGACTCTGTCTCCAAAAAGTAAAATGCAATAAAAAGAAAGAAAAGAAGCAGGTATAGAGAACCATTCCCACTATGTACAGCATGTTCCTCTGCCTGAAATGACAAGTGTGCTGAGGGTGCACACACCTGCCGCCCTGATTAAGGAAGAGCAGGGTTGGAGGAACGTCTTTTTATTCCTGGGTAAGTGGGATAAAAATCCCTTAATATGATGAAAGAGCATGTATGAAGGATGTATGGGGTGGAGGTGAGGGGAACAGAGAGCAAGTCAAAGTCAGTACATGAAATAGTATCAATGCAAACATGTAAGAAAGGAAAAGACACACAGGAACATGTTCAGGGCAGCCCTACATGTTAAGAAGGGACCGTGCGTGGACATTCTGGCATCAGAGTTGGATGCCTGCTGGGGGGTGAGTACAGGTGAGGCACTGGTGACATGGCAACAATTCCCAGCCAGGGACAAGAGAGGGTCGTGACTGACACAGAGCCAAAGCTCAGGGTGGGAACGCCAGGGGCTGCAACTACCCAGATAGCACATCAAGTCTAATCCTGCTAAAAACAGAATCTGACACTAGGTATTTTTTGTTTCCTTTCCATTCACTGACATCCCCGAAGGATAAGACATACACTCTCTTCAGTAATAACTGCTACCTGGGAGTGTCAAGTTTGGGAAAAGCTCCCCCAGCCCCAGGCTCATCTGGAGAGAGACCACAGTTGGTCAAAGTAATTCCTCTTTGCCATGACAGGTCCTCAAATCTCAGGAGATAGTGCCAGTGTTCCCACAGCCTCTTGGCCTTTCCCGTAGGCTACCATTTTATTCCTTGAACTCTGCCGGCAT